CCATAATTCATACCAATGCATAGCATTCATCCTCCCATGTTTTTTACCGAAAAAATTAAGAAAATCGGTTCATAAATAAGTGAGAAATGAACTTATCAGTGCATGAGAATGGTTCTGAGAAAAATACATTTCAAAATTTTAGTTCTCATAGAAACCAATGGTACAATGATATCTAAAACATAATTTATTCTTCCTTTTAACCTGGTTAGAAAATCAACATTGGTTTTTTATGAAAGTCTAGCATATTTAGAAAAGATTGACATCGAAAAAAAAATTTCAATTTTTTTCAAAAAGTTTTTGCTACCTTAGTGACATCACTAATGTTTCAAAATATTTTTGATATGCTAAAACATTGAAGTGGCCCATTAAATATGGCATTTTATTATTGAAATAGTGTGTCCTTTGTTCAATCTTTGCATTGGTGTTAAAAAGATAATCTTTTTTGAAATGCATTAAGAAATATTTGATGATTAAGAAATTTCAATTTTTTTTAAAAACTGGCGGGAAATTTGAATATTTGAGAAACGAAATGCTCACAACTTTTTTTTCAAAAAATCTTTTTTGTTCAAAAATCTCTAAAATCACTTTTTAAGTTCTGACAAATAGTAAATGAATGATAAAAAAATATTTTCAAACTTTAGACGGGGACTTTAAGGTATATAGTTAGCTCAAGTAAAGTTTTGATTTGAATTGCACATTAAGTTACTAAATTAGTTAGCTAACATCTGTGAATATAACTGCCACATTAACCAATTGATTTGCATAACTTTAACTTGTCATTTTGAAGGCAAAAATATTGAAATAGAGTGACTGGCTTCGATAAAATCAAATCAAAAGCTTTGATTTGACTTAGATTTTGACCTTGACCCTAAAAATGATTTTCTTTTAATTTATTTAAGTAAATACATACCTAAAGCAATAATTGAATGAGGAATAAAGAAAAGCTAATAAAGCTATCAGAGGTATATTCAGAGGGCCTCCTAATAACTTCAATGTAAATCTGGGCAATGTCTGTGTTGTTCATACAAATATCATGATGGTAAAGATGTCTCTCTAAAACATCACTTGGCTATCAGTTAATGTGGTTTTACTCCAGTAGTTCTAAAATTACTTTATGATAAAATCAATATTATGTTATATTTAAATATTCATCACATAGTTAAGACAACAAAGTTGGCACATTTTTTGATAAAAGCTATAATTCGAAAAGTAGTCGGCGATTTTGTTAATATTTAATATGTGAATAATTAGAAGATTTCTCATTTAGTTGGTATGAAAACTTTTCTGTTACTTTTTATATGTGATCTAAGCAAAACAATAATAGGTGACATCAAGCTGGTCCATATTGTTAAAATAACAACATCTATGTTCACAATGTTATTCAAGTTAACATCTTTCCATTATGAAACTATGGCTTTTGTCAAGTAGAGCAATGTATGTAATATATGATAGAAGCGTAAGATCTATGTTTAAATGTGTTTTGTCACTAGGACAAGACAATAACTGTCTCAGCTCATACTTCATTGTTCAAAGTCCTTGATTGATTGTTCAACTTAAAACATAGCTGCTTCACAATCTAACCCTGATTGATAAGGCGCAAAACATAACTTAGGCTCATTAACAATTAAAATGTCAAGAAAAATCAGTAATAATTTAGTTACAGTGGAGATTATTTTACCTGATAGAATTCGCAGGAGTACAATACCTGGTAAGTTACCTTGGTTATCTTACAATATTGTTTATTGTATATTGTACTGAAAATATTGTTTATAATACACACCAAAAGCTCTGTATAGGTTAAGTAGCTCTTCAAATATTCTACATTTATCATATGTATTGTTATACTTCCTTATAATGCAAAATATGCATTGATTGAAGACCTTGTCGGGTCTACCTTTGATAAATATTGCATGGTCATATTGCAAATAAATTTTATTGTTACAGTAGTTAAAACATACCAATATCATATATGACCCTCTTCACTGATTTACAAGTTCAATCTTGAGCCTCCTTTTTGGAACAGTTCTTTGAATTTCCTGTTTGTAGATTTGACACTCTTCACTTCTTATATGTTTGCCCAGAATATCAAATCTTGTAAGATGGTCATAATTTTATGGTTCTATTATTTAATTATGGTTGATATCAGGCATATTTGTTGGTTACTGATGGGAGGATATATGGGAATTTATTTTGCTTTGTAACACCCCCCCCCCCCCATTGTTGTAGCCCAAGATAATCATAATTTTTTGTACTTGAAGGAATTGTAATACAAAAGGTTTGTAAAATATGCCTACTTAATTTAAAATAATTACTTTTTTCATAAAAATATAATATTTGATTTTCTGAAATACTGGTTGACAGATTTAGATTTCAAAATAGCTTGCATCTTCAAGAAAAATGTAACTTTTATTATATAAATATTCTGGATTGAATTTTTCCATACATTACAGGCTAATGTCTGGTGAAAATAGGGCCTCGATGGAGAAGGAAACCCAATACATGTTTTGCTGCTTAATTGAAATGGCTTCCATTGTTCAGAAGAACTCCCAAAAATATTATCCACATTTTTAAGCCTTATATAGCTGAAGCATCTGGGAAAGACCTCTACTCAAGAAGTTTGATTCCTTGTGTCATCACTGTCAATGACTCATCTAAACAATAACGCAGATGCGAGTAGGTAGTTCCCAGTTTCACCATCAGGTGGCTCGTTTGGGTCAGATAGCATGGCGGGTATAGTAGAAAGTTCCCTTTAACTTAAATAACATCTGTTTTAGTGGTTCAATTTTCATATAACCCTTATGTATCTAATAGTTATGCAAATCAAAATATGTCCAGTAAATGAAAATGTTATCTGACCAATAAAAGAAAAAATATTTCACTTTTTGTGATTTTGTAACATGGGCTCTATGGAGAATCAACCCGAACTAGAAGTCACACTTTCAAGATAATTAAATTTTCAAACTTGATAAACAATTTTCGAAACCATATTTGTAGATGTACTTTAACATGTAGATTTCAAATATAACATCGCTTTGACTGAATTTCGAATATTTAATGGTGTAAATCAAGATTTTTTCTACTCGCATCTAGTCTATTCTGTATTAACTGCTGCTGTTGTTGTTGGACCTGAGGGTGATAAAGATACATGTACAACTATGTATACTGACAACATTTACTCTTATACTTCTATATAAACTTGTTAATGCTGGGAAACCTCCATGAAGAGCTCTTATCTGTATTCTGATACCCTTCATATCTCATCTCAAAGTGAGATCTCCTCAATGGAAAAGGGAGCAGAGTTCTCCTTATCACCTGGCAGGCCTGGGAAATTGAGCCATGTTTTCAAGTTTGTATTGTCTGATAGATGTTGCAAATGTTCTACCTGACTGTACATCAAAACAGTTGTGTGAGTCTTCACACATGAGGTAAAGCGAGGTGTTAACTCTCAGTTTTCTTTTCTAGAATGTTCCCTTATGTTTTGTTCTTATTATGGAGAAAGATGTTCAATTTACTACATGCCATGGAAAACCTCCCTCAAATACAATGTAAAATTCTGATCATGTATCAATCAGATTGTGAATTTGGAAATTCTAATTTGGATTTCAATAATCATACCAATGTTTTTTCAACCCTGGTTCGCCCTATTCAAATTGTGTGCTTGATAACATGTTACTTGCAGAACCAACCATCATGGTCTGGGAATAAAACTTGAATGGATAAGTCAGGGAATGGGTCAGGATATCACGGGGTGGGATTGTCTAATTTTGGGAAGATCCCAGTGTCCTTCTTATCTATTACCTATAGAGAAAACGAAAAAGAAATCCATGTAATGACTTATACATATCTTAAAGTGGTGTTAATGCATGTACATGTACTTGCTAGCTACCTCAGCTATTTTGATTTGTGTCGCATTTTCTCATATTGAAATACTAGAAATTGTTCATGAAATTTCACCTTCATTTGACTCACACTATTGCTTGGCGGAGATGCTTCTGATGAGCAATGGTGTAAAACAGCAGTTTAAGAAGTTGGTTTATGAGAAATTCCTGTATAATGAGCTCTGCTTTTACCTGGCTGGATGTGGTTTGAGATTCCTGTGTTAACTCTTAACATTTGCTCTATCTTGCCTCTGTGGGTTGCTACAGCCTCAGTTTATCTTAAGAATTTATATTTTATCTTGGAGGAAAATATTTGTGCAACATAGAGAGTTTTAATGGGAGAAAATCCATATCTCCATAGATAATTTCTTCAAGTGAAACACATCAAGTAATCCAGGTGGTTATAAGTAAATAATCTTCATACATTTACATAAACTTCCCAATTAATGAATCTTTTTTAAGAAACTGTAGAATGTGTGAACTCACATACAAGGTTCTCATTAAATATATTGTGTGATCACTAATATTGAGTATATTGAATGACCTCTATGTTTTGTTATCTCACATCTTGAATGATATTTATGTTATGTACTCTTTATATTGAGTGAACTATGTACAATATGATCTCAAATATTAAGTGATCTAAACATTGAGTGATCTCTGTATTATGTGATCTCTATATGAGTGATCTTTATATTGTGGGATCATCATAATGAGTGATCTGATACATGAAGTTTATGTTGTTTCACTGAAATGATTCCCCCCTTGACTGAAAGCTAGCTACGCCCCTGTTCATACAGTGATCAATTTTAGGCATTTATTCTGGGAATATTTAATCACACAAGAACGTAATCTATTGAGATATTTAGATGAATTTTCACTCTGGTGACATGAATCTTGTCATTTAAATTCCTGATCAAATGTACTTTAAATCATGACATTTTATCATGTCTTAAAGAAAGATAACTTTTTCATTTTATCATGTCTCAAACTGAGATTACTTTTCCACTGTACATATACATGTAGATACAAGACCACCCCATGAAGTCGTTTTCTATTATGAGCTTATGTACAATTATATATGTTATATATCCATCAATTACCATCACATTTCTGAACAGCATGTAAGGTTACCATGCATACCAGCCTCTTGCCATTTCATTATTCATAACTTGGGGATGAAAATAGAAAAATATCAACATGTTTATTTAGTAACATATAACAACTTGATGAGCAACCCTCACATACAGTAAGAAATCGTAACGGAATTACAAGTGGGACTCATTTTCTCCAAATTTCATCTAATCGTGACTTACAATAAGAGAAATTGTGGAAGGAAGCGAATTCCGGAATATAAAGCTATATGTAGCAGTTGTTTTGTGTTTCTTAAGACCTTCAGTGCTGACATAATAGGTTCAGGTAAAATATCACCTCTCAACTCAACTCTGTTGTGATAACAGATTTAGAAAAAGTAGATAAGTATAGAAGATAATACAAAGTTGGGATCACCAAGTCAACCAGAGAGGGTTTAATAATCATCTGGTGTTAATAAGCTGAGATCTGTGAATTGGTTATCTCATACAGCTGCCTTGCAAGCAGGCCTCTCAGTTACTCACTATGTGTAGTAGCATCTTACCACGGATATATTTAGATCCAATAGATGAGACATCAGAGGAAGAGAGTTTGGAGAGTGACTCAGACCACTCAGATACTTTAAATCAGAACTTGCACTCAGAGCAAGAACAATTTGAGATCATAACTAATGGTGATAATCTAGGTGCTGGCAGAAGACGACGCTCATCATCTTTTAATAATATAGATATGGAAAATCTAACCGAATCAGGACATAGTGAAAATGTGAAAAGTAATAATCAGAATTCTGATACACAGGATGACACGGGTGATTTGTTGAATGGCATTGTCAATGCAGCAATGGAAGCTATAGATAAAGAGGATATTAAAGCAGAGAATAAAAATATGGCTGATACTGAAATGCGACCTGATGAGGACATGCCCCCTCCACCACCAGAACAGAATTTACCAGATTTGCCACTGGAGGAAATACCCCCAGCAGTCCCTGAAGAGATTTTGTCACCAGTTTCGCCAAATGAGGACATTCAACCAATTGAATTACAAGATGAGGAGCTCCCCCCTCCCCCTACCCCGATAAAAGATATCTCTTCTCCTTTTAGCCAGACAGAGGATACGCCCCAACCTTTAGAAGAAGAGCTACCACCCCCCTACTGCGATGATCTAGCTTCTCCCACAGCAAAACAGGATGACCCTCCTCCATTTGATGAAAATGTAGCACTCCCTAACACAAACAAGGAAACAGAAGCAGAAGCGGAAACATCTTTACTGTCTGATATTGTGAGCACAGCACTTGATGTCCTAGATAAGCAGGATGACATTGCTTTGGCAGAAGCAGCCTTACCAGTTGATATACCAAAAACACCAGATGAAGTGCCAGAAACACCAGTGAATGTTCCAGAAACACCAGCTGAAGTGCCAGAAACACCAGTTGATGTACCAGAAACACCAGATGAAGTGTCAGAAAGACCAGATGAAGTGATAGAAACACCAGTTGATGTACCAGAAACACCAAATGAAGTGCCAGAAACACCAGTTGATGTACCAGAAACACCAGATGAAGTGATAGAAACACCAGTTGAAGTGATAGAAACCCCAGTTGATGTACCAGAAACATCAGCTGAATTGCCAGAAACACCAGTTGATGTACCAGAAACACCAGCTGAAGTGCCAGAAACACCAGTTGATGTACCAGAAACAACAGGTGAAGTGCCAGAAACACCAGTTGATGTACCAGAAACAACAGATGACGTGCCAGAAACACCAGCTGAAGTGATAGAAACACCAGTTGATGTACCAGAAACACCAGCTGAAGTACCAGAAACACCAGTTGATGTACCACGATCACCAGATGAAGGGCCAGAAACACCAGCTGAAGTGATAAAAACACCGGTTGATGTACCACAAACACCAGATGAAGTGCCAGAAACACCAGCTGAAGTGATAGAAACACCAGTTGATATATTAGAAACATCAGCTGAAGTGCCAGAAACACCAGTTGTTATGTCAGAAACACCAGCTGAAGTGATAAAAACACCAGTTGATGTATCAAAAACACCAGATGAAGTGCCAGTAACACTAGTTGAGGTGCCAGAAACACCAACTGATACATTCAAAGAGAATCCTGAAACACCATATGTAAAAATTGAAACCCATGTTGATTCTCCAAGGGAGGGTGACATTTTTGAAAAATCATCAGAAATCCTTGATAAACCTGAAGGAAATGTCACCTTGAGAAGCCCCAGCATGAGAATGCAGCCACGCCCTCTCTCTGATGTTTTTGAAGCACCTCCACCATCAAAGATAATTGCCCAACCAAAAAAAGTGAATGAACCTATCTCTAAACCAGACACTCTTAATGTAAATTCCAATGCTGATGAGTCAGGGATAGAACTGCATAGCCCTGTATCTGTAAAGGTCAAGCAGTATGGGGAAAGCGAGGCAGTAAACAACCAGCCTTCTAATCTCAATAGCACAGCTAAGTTAGGAATATCTCAATCAGAGCAGCTATTTTCAGGCAATACACCAAGTATTTCTTCTACAAGCACAATGTCAGGAAATTTGACAAAAACAGTTATTAGTCAATCTTCATCAAGGAGAGTTTCATCCACATCTTCGTCAACTGTTATTGGAAGTGATGGAGTCATGGAAACAAAAGTCCAAGAATCAAAATTGGAGAAAAAAGCAGCAAGTGAATCTGAAACTAAGTCTAGTGGAGGTATTAGTTTAACATCAAAAACCTCATCCAGTTCTGAAAAACAGTCAGATTCAGAGTGTGTCAAAGATGGACAGGGACGTGTTATTTCTAGTTCAAAGTCAGAGTCATTTGTAAAGTCAGGGGGTCCTACGGAGATCCCAATAATCAAATCAGATCCCCAAGCAGCAGCAGTGCAGTTGTCTAGTGCAAAGTCTACTGAACAGTCAGACATTAATCTCCACAGTGCCCCAGGTCATAGCCCTACAACTCTTACCACCGTCACACCACACAGTGTCACATCACAAGCTGTCACACCACAGAGTGTCATGGCACAAGCTGTCACACCACAGAGTGTCCCATCACAAGCTGTCACACCCCAGAGTATCACGGCACAAGCTGTCACATCACAAGCTGTCACATCACAGAATGTCACATCACTTAGTCTGACATCACAGAATGCTACTTCAGAAAAGAATCTTGTTTCACAAAATATCACACCACAAAGTGTAACTAGTCAAAATGTTGCAGTTGAAAGTAATGTCACTCAACAGAACATTATCTCCCCAAATGTCACATCACAGAATGTCACATCACAGAATGTCACGTTACAAAATGGGACAGAGACAAACTATGAAAATAAGCAAAATGCTGCTGCAATGCAAAATGTGGCTATTACTTCTCAAAATATTTCGACTAAAGAAGATAAGAATACATTGAACATTGAGAAAAGGGATGCTTTTAATGCAGAAGTTGACTCATCTAAGATTTTACCAGATGATCTGTCAAGTGAGTATCTTTTTTAAAGTTCATAATTTATAGAATTTCGCAGTTGAGGTTGCTTGTATAGGTACACAGAACTGTAAATTGTGATATATTTAGAATTGATTCATGCCTGTGTATGACGTACCTTAGTTTGAGATAGAGAGTCTAAGATAACATCAGGTTTCACCAGATGTTATGTTGTCTGTTTAGAAAGAGATAAGGTGAAGTGAGGAACACCATGGCCTGATTTAACTCAGGGAAAATGCCAGGCTCTATACTTCTTCCAGTGTATTCTATCTGGAAAACATTAGAAACAGCTAAAACTTCATCTTTAAGTTAGAGAAAGTTAAGTGTAATATGCCTAAATTGCTAAAGCAACATCTATATCTTTTCAAGAAGTTTTATATTTCTCATACATTATGATTAATGCCCCCCCCCCCCAAAAAAAAAAATTGAAAAGTTAGTTCCAAGACTAGAACAAAAGTATATGGGTAAAGAAGCATTTACCCCTTCAGTCATCAAAAATATTGACCATTGTAGTTAAATGGCATTTATTGATGTTTTGAATGGATCCCTTAATGCTGAAAGGATACTGGTCTAGACACAGTAATAGAAGATTGCTTCAGAAGCCACAGGAATAGAATCTTGATTTACACATACCACCTGGCTTATTTCTTAGAAGTTACTTTCTCATTTTGTATGTTTTGTCCTGCTATAATGTGCACCTTTGACTACATACTAGATTGCATAATTTTCCTGTTATAATGTGCTCATCCATCTCACTATATTTGTAATTATTGTGTAGTTTTGATTTTCTGAGGATTATTTAGGAATCACTGCTTCTCTCAGTACATGGCTATTAAGAACATGGAGAAATGACCAAATATTGAAGAATTATGAGAAAACAATCAATCTTTAAAAATGAAGTAAGTGATAATAGAGAACCTTGTTGCATAGCTAGATCTTTTAAGCTCCCGTCTGCCACTTCATTTGAAGAAATGTGTTTTTGTATCGTTTTCTGATTTAAACATCAGAAATCTAGAATGGCCACCCAATGTTCTAATGTTGGAATTTGCATTAATAATTTGAGATCCCTTCAAAGTATATATGGCTATATTATACTCCAATGGCGTCAAATTTCAATAATTTGAGATATTTTTAAAGCATGGCTATGTTATAATTTGCTATGCTATAATTTGTTAATTATCCCATCGAACGAAATCGAACGAAGTTCGGAGGGATATAGGGAACGCCTCCGTCCGTCCGTCCGTACGTACGTACGTCCGTCCGTCCGTCCGTCCGTCCGTCCGTCCGGGCAATAACTCAAATACCCTGGCCCGATTTTATTCATATTTTGTACACATATACCCCATGGGGGTAGAAGTTCTGCTCGAAAGCCAATTTTCAAAATGGCCGCTCATTTAAAAATTTTAACGTATTTTACTATAACTCGAAAAGTAGTAGAGCGATTTTGTTCATATTTGGTATGTGAATATTATAAGCATGGCACACTGTCTAATGACACTTTTGGTAGAAGGTGCCCCTTTTGAAAAATGTTCGATGGGATTCGCTACGCTTTGGCGTTGCCGTTGTTCTGGTTGGGATTTGCTATTAGAGTTTCCATTTTCTAGTTGAATAGCTTGCTTCAGACATTATCCTTTGGTGCCACTTTTAACCCCATGTTGTTTACCATTCAACATTCTCTCAAGATAAACACATACTATCAACAACATTTTTAGAATTTTAGACTCTGAAATTGCCAAAGCCTTTCACATATTGAAAGATATATCTATTTAACATGTAATATTCCAAGTTTGCTAAGATTTCAGACACCAGAGAAAGTTGCTAGTTGCTTTCAAAAAGCTGCACCGGGGTTATGCAAAAGTTAGAATATAAAAACATTGCAAAAAACTGTGCTAAAATTCAAGGAGTTCTAGCAAATACACATCTTGATTCACAAGGTCTCAGTTACTCCAACTTTACCTTGATATTTTTAGTACAATTTCATTGGGTGAGCAAACAAACAAAATGCTAATAATACTCTCAATTTCACTGAGTCCTTTATGATTAAACTAGGAAAACATCAATTCAATAGCTTCTTGTGATAGAAACCTCATTAGGGATTTGATAGAAACTTTATTAGGGATTACTCCACAGAGGGCCCTAGTGAAAAGGTAGAAGGCGCTAGTGAAAAAGTAGAAGACAAAAAATCTAAATTTAAAATTGTGATGATGGTTGATTGAAATCAAGATTTATCAGTGCAATCACCAGTGAAAATGTACAGATTTTATATACTTTATTTTGTTTATCTTGTGGGTATATAATTTTACAAAAAGTATGACGAAATGATTCGGTTCACTTCAAATATTTGACTTTTTGGTGATGGTGGTCTTGAGTTTGAAATCTATTGAAAATTGTTTAAAATTCAGAAAGATGGTAGAAAAAGTGGGCATATCTTTTTTTCAATGTGTGATCTATGCAAGTTTTCTTTTGATTTGAAAGGGGACATAAAGGTATCCTGTGGTATATGGGGTTATATATTTCTTTTATTGACAATTGTATCAAAACATGACATATTAGTCTAGGGTTATGTACCAAAAATCCTTGTTTTTTCATAATCAATCCAAAGATTTCAATGTTTTCCCATTGGATTGCATTAGAGCATTTGTCTGTGGAATTGTCCCTTAAGGGCCATTAAATTATCATTTATAAGTGTGAATGCTAGTGAAACAAATATTTGGACACTTTTAATTGGTTCTTGGAACATCTTCCCAGATGACACACCACACAGTAAGAGGACAGAAAAATAAATATGCATCCAAGGTGTGTTTATAGCCACCTTGGAAGTCAACAATAACAAATACACACTAGGTTAAGGGTAACAAGGCATTAACATGCAAAATGTCACCACCTATCATTTGTTACAGATGCTATTTCATATTCAGATTGTTAAGCCTTTAAACAAGTTCCATGCTCCCTAAATTGAAAGATACATTATTTCATTTTCACGAGAAGGAAAGTTTTAATCAATTTATTTCAAAAAGGTAGATTTGAGTGATGCAACTGTGAAATTTAGATAAATATGAACTACAAAACTGGCGTAAGATGCTGTAAGTTGCGCTGTTTTGCAAAAGTTGCACCTGGCAATGAAATTTGTGGGAAGTTGTTGCGCGTGCAGCCATACAACTTTGAATGGTATCTGAGATATTTCCAAGGCTGATACCTTTTGATAAGGTCAAAATTTGCTTTTAAAATTGTAATGTATATGATTGTACTGTAAGTAATTATCAAATGTTGATGATGGGCATCTGAAAACTGGTCATCATTCTATTAAATGACAGTTTTATTATTGCCTGATATTAGTAATGTCATGAGAAGCCATGACCTTCATATAGTTAAATCAATAACTGACCATGGCCAAACTGCCCTAATTCAGGTCACCATACTAGTCAATGGGCAAAAGGGCAAACGCCTGACTTTTTATCTCGAGTTATGGATTTATGTGGCCTCACTGGCCTATCTGAGGTTCTAAAGCTATGTCTAAGCTACATTTTGACACTAAACTCAATAGGGGCCAACCATCTACTTTTTGAAATAATTGGTCAATTGTGACACTACCCCCTCTCTCTGCCGACACAAATTGAAATTCACAAAAATGAAGGCAAAATTAATACGCCAGTTGACTCGAAAATTTCCTTCAGATAACCCAAATAAACGCATTTTCAGAAGAAATGGCATGTTGTCATTGCAAAAAGATGACAACTGTGCCTACATACTAGATTACTGACTCGGCATGATCACAATTGTGTTGGGACTACATTTATTTTTGAATACTACTTTTTTCTATTCAGCGGAAGTGACGTATTAGGGCATTTGGGCCTAATAGCAACATGGTTGGGTGATTTCTGGCTTGAAATTGCGTTTTTCCAATTTACTAGAGTTTTTCAGGTACTTTTGTGCAATTCAAGAATATTCTGACAGCAATTATGAAAAATATGGCTACTTTATTACCCCTGGGGTCATTTTCCCAAGAACCCAATGGTTTTCCTTTAAATTTGACTAGTTTTCCATTTACATCATGAAATCTACTACCTGATGGTGACATTTTACAATGTTGTGTCAAGAAATTGAGTATTTAATTGCATATTGCGATTCTTAGCCAAAATCACTGAACCGTGAACCAGGAAAATTGGGCAAATTTGGCCTACTTAGGCAAAATTTTACTAAAATTATCATTCTTTTGATATTTTATTCCATTCAACAACCTCCTGATTTGAAAAATGATGACAAATTTGATCAGATTTGACTCTGGCCTGGAGAATTGGGACTTTTGAGATAGTTTTAGCTCGAATTTGGTCATTCAGAGTGGACAAATACATCAAAAATTGACACTTAACTGACCAATCTCTGACCGTACCCCTGATATGTACCTTCATTCTTTACTAAAAACCATAAGATGGAAAATTCAATCTTTATTATGAACAGCAACTCATTGGCTTGCCCATTTACGACAACATATGACATCTTGGGGTCATACAGGACGAAATTGTGGCCAAATATCGTCAAAATCAGTGGTTTTTAGGGTTAAAAGCGAAAACTGCTTATTCAGCAAAAACTTTAAATTTGTTCAAGAAAATTCCCCTTTTTGCCCCGTCCAGAATATGTTTCATACTAATAAACTTCAATTCTTGGCGATTCTGAGTAGTTTTAAAAAAATTTTGGTCACTCTCACATGTGACTAATAGGCCAAACTGCCCTAATTCAGGTCACCATACTAGTCAATGGGCAAAAGGGCAAACGCCTGACTTTTTATCTCGAGTTATGGATTTATGTGGCCTCACTGGCCTATCTGAGGTTCTAAAGCTATGTCTAAGCTACATTTTGACACTAAACTCAATAGGGGCCAACCATCTACTTTTTGAAATAATTGGTCAATTGTGACACTACCCCCTCTCTCTGCCGACACAAATTGAAATTCACAAAAATGAAGGCAAAATTTATACGCCAGTTGACTCGAAAATTTCCTTCAGATAACCCAAATAAACGCATTTTCAGAAGAAATGGCATGTTGTCATTGCAAAAAGATGACAACTGTGCCTACATACTAGATTACTGACTCGGCATGATCACAATTGTGTTGGGACTACATTTATTTTTGAATACTACTTTTTTCTATTCAGCGGAAGTGACGTATTAGGGCATTTGGGCCCATGAGTAACAGCCTTGATTCATCAAGGACTGAAGGAATACATTGGTTTAAAAGTACTAGTATATGTATGAATTGTAGTATCATCCTTCTTCAAAGGACTCCATTCATGCTTAATTCATATAATATGAGGTTATATAATGGTTCATTCTGTATATCGTGTTTATACTCAAGTGAGTATATGATATATTCACAAGTGAGCGTAGCGAACGAGTGAATATATTATATCTCACGAGAGTATAAAATGCACGATATACAGAATGAATCATTATATAATCTTATTATGCCACTCTAAGTTCAACTACAGTTGATTCGAACACAATCATAACGATTAAAAACCATAAAAATATCCCATAGCCAACTCAATAATGCCGATGTTGATCTCGAACCATTTATGACGTCACTTGATTCTAGGAAATCATGCCGGAACCCATAGATCCCGGCCAGATTCTTTTGTAGCAGGATCAGTAGCTCAATAATATTTCCTCAAGATGAGACACTTCAGAAAAATTCAAATTTTAAAATGACGATTCTGGAGCATTTCTGAAAAATATGAGACAAATCATACCTCATTCGAAGGGTCTTGTTATTCTTTACCTTTTTTATCACCAATGGCCGTTATTCAAGCAATACTGCGTTGATAAGAGGCCAAAACAGTGATATTTTATCGCCGGACTCTTGTCTGTCCAAATCTGAATGTTGCTCCCGTGGTTCCAGAAATGTGACGTCATCATTACAATGATATTTGGACACACAAGAGTCCGGATTTCGTGAAAAATATTCGCCGTATTGAAAGTCAAATAACTGCATCCATAGGTTATTTACTCGAACCAAACAAGTAGAAATAGAAAGATGAAGATCTCAGCTATAAAATAAGTGCAAAATCTGTCACGGGGAAACAGGTACTATTTTGTATAAGGAACGTTTTGAAAGGTGGTCACTTTTTTTCGAAATTTTCCAATTCAGTGTCGTATCTTCTGTATTATTCTTTGAGCCTATGATCCTACTACAAAACGATCTGGCCAACATCTGTGCCGGAACCATTTAAGACGTCACTTGATTCTAGGAAATCATGAAAATTTTGGAGCGTCGGAACTCCCTCATTCGAGGGACAGTCTGTGTAACAAAACATACACGTTGTTCTTCGCTCTATATTCATTAGTTCCCAGAATGCACTTCTACAGTGGTATACGCTGGAGTGTATACGGTGGAGTATATACGATGACGATATACCACTCTCCACTATATATCATTGTTATAGACCCAAGTTATACAACTGTAATTTGACTTAGAGTGGTATAAAATACTATATACCCTTGCTGCAAGGATTTCATGGTATGGGATTTCATTAATTTCTAGGATTTATCAGTTACATCCGAGTCAGTAGCCATCAGACATCAACACCCACTCAGTAGCCATCAGACATCAACACCCACTCTTGCCTCTGGTTTTCCAACTGTTGAGACTTAGTTGAATTCTAAGTTGGAAATTACCATAGAGTAAAAGTCCGTACTTTATTTTCTAATTAAAATTTGTAAGATATTTAGCTCTCTGCCAAAAACTCTTTGAGGCAAGATCAGAATTCATGTAAGTCAAAAACTATGATATCATCGCCAATTACCAGTCATGATGATGTATTCACATGTGAGGTCATAACGTAATATTCTGTGGTAAATGACTGTATATCACCTCAGTACATGGTACATGTAGGTAAGATGAATAAGCTGCCCATCTGGTAGACACAAATGAATACCTCATATATTAGAACTCTCATAATGAGGAAGTTCTTATCTTAAGCCTTATGGCAGTTTATTTTTATCCCATGTTTACTACTCAGCAGATAACGTATTATCTTCTGCTACCTACATACACTGAATACTTTTACCATGGTAACCTTCCATTACCATTTATTATGTCTTGTGGAAATCATCCTCACAATTATTTTCTTTCTCACTCATGTTCATCGTCAAACTTTATTAAAGGAACATTCCTCACTAACCTGTTATTGTCTTTACCTGATTGCTATAATCTATTGTAAACTATCAATACATGTCAAGAAATTATGGTAAAGTGAAATTTTACCATTTAGAAATGTATTGTTTGTTTCAAGTGCTTTATTCACAAATTAATAAATTATCTTATTTTAGTAAAAATTGATTTTTTTGTTGTTCACTTTCAGCTGAGGACAAGGTTGAAGAAGATATCAGTTTTGCTGGCTTGAAAAACATTCGCTCAAGATTTGAGGATGAGAATGAAAAGGAGGGGTCCCCTCAGGCTCAAGATGCCGGTCGACGTGTTCCAGGGAAGCTGAAGCAACAGTGGGGAAGGTACGGATCATTTCATATTTTATTATTTTCCCACTGAAGTCATAAGAACTCTACTCATGAAGGAATTCCATATATGGTGTCAGATTACATCATGGGTGTAGATTTTACAAAAAGGTGACAATAGTTCTCTGGTTATTTCTATTCTATAATGTCCAAAATGACTAGGGATTTGATAGAAATATGTTGTGTAAGGGCATGGGGGGTTGATACCCTGGGGAGTTGGTTTTGGGCAATGCTTTTCTGTGGAGTTGCTGTTTTCTTGTTCAGTGTGCTTATATGTAACCAGATACCTCAGGAAGCACACCGGCTTAACACTAATCTAACATGTTTACATACCTGCTGGGCCTGCATTGGAAACCTTACAAATAGAAAGTTAAGATATCAACATTAATCCATTTAATGAATTTCAATATTACGTTAGTAATGCAGAATTTAGAAAGGACATGATTATTTCTGTACCTTATTTGGAGTGGTCATTTTTCCAAGTATACAACTTACTTATACACGAATATCCACTTGTATATGGTGCATTTTATCTGCAACCATTGTATAAAGGTACGTGTGATCCAACATTAATTGGCAGATATTCTCATGCATGTACCTGTACTTCATTGGAATGACTTTGTATTTGAGTTATTTATTTGCTGTTGCACTGAGGATGGTTGCACTGACCAAGTCCTTGTTAGGTCTTGAAACAGAACCATTGAACAGGCTTGATTTGTTTGAGATGCATATGTCAGTAGACATGTGTTCATGCAACAGAAGTCTATAATGCAAAAGATTTAGGAATTCCTGCCAGATACATCTTCACAAGAATCATCATCTGTTTGTTATAAACAAAAACATTGAATAGATTAGATGAAGAGAAATGAGGGAGTGTTACCTCTGTTGGCCTATGGAGTTATTCTGATAACTTCTAAATATAGATAGTAATAGATTTTGTTGACTGATTCATCCCTCAATTCCCGCATCACATACTTCTAAGCCAATGAAATCTCTTGGTAGACCATGGAAGACTTGCAGATGCATTCTACATAGTTCAAGGTATTAGTCAGCTTTATCCAACTGATAATGTGCAAATGAGTGACAAGATATGAAACACATCTTGCAGATATAGGAATAACTTACTTATAACATGGATTTAGATAATAATGGCCAAAGATATTGCTAATTATTCCGTCTAAGATCAAGATCTTTGCAGTGTGGGGATCAATTCTAATGATTGTAACTTAAACATGGAAGATGTTAAAATGGATTCTAACCAAGAAGATGATATAATGATGGTCAGTGATAGTGATAGTCCCATATGTACAGTTAAAAAAGCAAAGTACAAGACAGACTACAGGTGAATATACACACACTCAGTTTGAATTCTTTTCTAACTATTTTCATTTTGTTATATTTGCCACTAAATGATCAGCAAGAATATGTGAAAAGTTAATTATAGAAGCACTGTATATGTTTTGAATTTTTAGGATATCTGGCAGTACTAATGAATTTGGACATTTGAGCATCTTAACCTTTAATAACTTCTATATTTTAATTATTTGGTTAAACATCTTTTAAGAAAGCAGGATTGAAAAAAAACAAAAAACAAATTGCAGCCATTCTTATATGTGTGTTATTTACAGGGGGGGGGGCTTACATTTTTTCGGTTGAACTGGTAAAGTAATGAAGCGAGTTTTTGAAATTGGTATATGTGAATACTTGGAAGTGTATTACACTGTCTAATGATGAATTGGCAAATAGGCAGCCATTTTCAATATGTTCTTTTATTTGCTGGAATACTGGAAAAGTGATGGAATAGTTTTGTTCCAGTAGCACCAGATGGTTTCATTGGGCCAATGGTATTATGTGATCTTCATTGACGACAGTCAAGATCTCATCAACCAGCTACATGGCTGGAATGGTGTTCAAGCACTTCTTCGAGAAAGGAGCCTGAAAAATTTATGATTGTCATTTTTTCATACATGTATGTTTACACCTCCTAGTGCCCAGATCTGACTGGGTTTTGGGCATGCTGGGTAAATTACACTGTGTCCATTTTGATCTTCATATTGCAATCTTTATCACTGTGTGTAATGTTTTCTATTATGTCCTGTTTTATCAGCTACTTGTAGTTTAGGCAGTGTTTCCCTCTAATGGTCCTTTTTCCATATAGCTTTGAATCTCGTTAAAGTCTCCTTTTTAATGAGATTTTAGGAGATCTGCATTTTTAACCATTAAAGACTAACATTTCTTCTATTTGATGGCATATTTATCAAAACAACTTTGATTTGTACCATTATTTACCTTTATTCAAATTCTAAATCCCCATTGACACAATGTTGAAAAACCTTTAAAAGTTCATTAACTCTTATAAGGATCACTATTGTAATGTGAAATCACAGTTCACATGTCAATAAGATCATATAGTTACATTACAATGGTGTTTTAAGCTGATCCAAATGGAATTACTTGTTAGATCATGAAATCAAGTGACTCTTGTCATGTATTCTAGCCCTACCAACACCCATGATGCCATCTATTCTTCCATTTATATGGAAAATGGTCAATTCAACAAATGTGGTTCAAAAACATTTCAGAGTCCTTGCAATATGTTCATTTCTGATGCAAATGTTATTTGTTATTCTAGCACTGAGACGACTCCTGCAACTGCTGTGCAGCATGTCAATGGGCACTCCATAGAGAATGAACCAACCAAGAACACTAATGTTGTTAGGGAGACGGACAAAGTTGAGGAGGTATGTAGACCAATCAAATTACAGCAAATACTTATATTTTGCTCAACTTTTGTCTCTATATAATAATATGATAAAATGAGCATTTATCTTTTTGATGAAATGATATAACTTATTGACTACTGAATTGTTAGTTGAATTTTGATGTACAGACAGTTTTTACACATTGGTTTCAGTAAATCTATAATATCAATAATGTCAAATTAGAAAATATATTTAATTTAATTGTACACATATTTTTATCTCACTGTCATATTCCTCAATCTGTTGTGTCCTTTAGATAATTTCAGAAAACATATTAAGTGTAGTACCCAAACTTGATTTGTCCCGAATTTTGACCTTGACATCAAATCTAGCTCAAATCCCTAGTTCAAGAATATAGTTTAAGATTACAAAAAGCTAGCTGGAACTTGAAGAAAAAGTGCCAGGAAGAATGATAAGACTGGTGAAATGGAACATCTGTATTTCTGTATTTCTTCGAGTAAAGGGTAAAGCTGTGAGATATTTTTAGAAAACATCCACTAGAAGGAATGATATGAGACAGATGTTTAAAACTGTATTTGGAAATGCATGATAAATATGCACCAGTTGAAGGTCTTATTGTTAAAATACGGTTTAGCTCATTAATAGTGGCCTAATTAGAGTGGAGAGAATATGACAGTGAATAAAACATTTCACTCTATGAAGAATGAAATATTTGTATGTTTTACAGTAAACTGACTTGTGCTTTTTGCATGTATGCTTAATCTGCCATGTTTAGTTAAGATGTGACTTATATGGTTTATACAACTTTTGCAATTGTATGTGCATAGTGTCTGTATGCAAGCTTAGACATATAGTGTACATGTTAATTAGATAAATTCTCCATTGTCTAATTAAAGTGTCGGTCAAATTTCAATTTGTTACATTTAACATGTGAATATAAGTCTGTAAGTGATTTGCATTAATTGTAACAATTGGACTCACCATCCATCAATGGTTTTTCAACATGGACATTTTGGTCAGGGAATATTTGGATTGCTATAGTATCCTTTCCAAAATATTATTGGAATATTTGGGGAATCAGTGTTTTCCAAAAACCTGAATTCACTTTATATATACATGTACACTGTGTGTTTTAGCTCATATATTGTGTTTTGTCTGTTTATGCGACTTTTAAACTTAATGTACTGTAACTTTAAATACTATCGCTTTTCTTGAATTATGTAAATCTTGAACATGATATTGATATATGCTGTTAGAATATTCAAGCTCTCCCCATGGATTTTATTATATTTTCTGATATTTTCTATCATTCCTCCCATGCTAGTTAATGTGATGGTGATACTTAATCGTTACTGTCTATATAAGCTTGCAGTTTAATTTAATGAAAATGGTTATTTGGTCCAAACGACCAGGGTTGCTTTGGAGAATGATATAAGTCAGTCATGTCTTTAGCCCTGACTTTAACTACTTCTAATTAAGAAGAAATTTCCAATATGGCTGATCAATTTAAAATGGCTGGCTTTTTTGTTTTAAATCATAACTAATATAAATCCAATTGTTTTAGGAAAGTCAAATTTTTGTAAAACTGTAATTTTTGATCAAATAATAGTAATCTGATTTTGTGGGCAGTACTGCCTGGTTATTTCTTTTATAAATGTTCAAAATGAGAAGTGATTTAAAGAAATTTGTTTTGTTTGATGGATTTTGCTACTCCAGGAATTGCTAATTTTTTCTTTGCCAACTTTTGTTTGGTGATCGAAGCATTATTTTATTTAGTTTATAACCAGAAAATGAAATTCTAAGAAGGAAATCATATTCCATACATGTACTTATGTAATCTACCTTTAACAAATAAGAACATGTCTTGATTTTCATGTTGTCTAGAAATCAATGAAAATGTCTAGTTATGAACATGTCATACTGTCTTTCATCACATATCTTTTTATCTAGAACATGCCTAATGGCCTATTTACATGAATTATGACAGAGAAATGGATGTATTGGTCTTATAATGTACCATAATATGCAGATAATGCTTGCAGAAAAGCTCTGTGCAGATTTGATATGCATGTTTTTGAATTTGAATTCATAATATTTCATGAATAAGCTGAATTCGTATTACCTTAGAAAAGGGAAATATTTAATATTTAATAAAGCCTTTATACAGTATTGATGATCAAGATACCATGTTCATACAAAAAATTATTGGAAATTTTCTACCCCTAAACACTCTGTATGCATAAACATAATAAACTTGAAACTTTATAATTTAATTAAAAAATGACCATTAATTCTGACGCGTCCTTGCATATATCTGCATGGAGTGTCTTCTGCAAGCACTGTTTGCATGGGGTGTATACCCCTAACATATAACTACATAGGTAGAGAAACACTTAACAGGAACAGGGTTTAGATGCAAAATACCAATATATATAACATGATGATAGTCATCTTGCTGAATCCTTAGAATTCCATGTATTACTAACAAAGTGATTTATTTGTTTTCAGTGTGTGTTTTTGTGTTTGTTGATTACGAAGAATGTGGCAAATGATAATTCAAGATATTCAATTCAACCAACTCTTTTTCATAAATCATTTTCCAAATGTATAGCATAGACAGCTATGGCAGTCTGGCCCAAGCAAAATGAAGGATGACATCTATTATATAGAAACTATACAATTGTATGTTTCATTGAAAAGGGGTACTGAGGTTTAAGAATATTTTTAAGTTGATTGATCTTGACTATCGTTTGCCACAATCAACAATGCATGAACTAATTCCACCACATAAAACCAGGCATTGGGCACAGATGCATGCAGATTAGTTGAGTCTTTCAAAAATGACTCTGGTAGGTATTGCTCCAGGAGGGTCTCTCAATATAATTCATTACCCTGAACCCCTTTAGTTCTCATTACCTATAATGCATGTCATTGCCTTCAAGTGAACTTTAAGAGTTGGAGGAAACCTAAACCCAAATATTTTCATGCTGCTATACTTAAACACGCTTCTTGTTTAGTTGTAAAATGGGTCTAATGTTTTGACCCATTTTAATGCAATATAACCATTTATGACTAGTTAATTGTCATATTAGCGACTTTCTTCTATTCAAAATGATTGCTTTCACAGCTTTCTTTAGTATGACAGGTACAATAGAAATTGCCAGATATCACATGACTATTCATTGTGTGGTATGATGTTTCAAGATTCCAGAATATTTGAAGCATTTTGCAGAATTTCTAGTATTCTAAATTTGATGTCTTATCTCACATACTGTCAATGATAGTGCTGTCGTGACAACTGTCCAGGAAATTTGAATTCAAAATGGCAGCCCAAGTTGGGTTCCTTATATTTTTGTTATTGCAACAAGTGAATTGGTACTCAATGGTCTGTCTTTTTATAATTCAGTTCAGAGAAAATAATTGGGTTTACTAATCCATAAAACTGAATAAATTGTTAAAGCCATGCTTGCTTCTTGTTTAAACTTTATTTATTTGATAGTAATATACCTGGTTCCCTTAGGATTAAGATAGAAAGATAGATCTGAGAGTTAAATGCCTCACAGTTATAATATACATAGGCGAGCAGTATAGATCCATGCATTGTGGTGGGGTTCAGGCTTGTGCATTTGAGATCTCCCCTCCATGTCTCCCAACCCTTGTTAATCAGCTTGGTTTATGTTTCAGGCCCCCAAGGTGGAGCTGGGTTCTCTCAAAAGTAGGTATATGGCTGCTGCAACAGATGGGTTGCCCAAAACGCCCGGTAATAATCCAAACAATGCTGAATTTCAGGAGTCAATTGCTGATGTACCCAGTCCAGAAACTACAAAAAATCTCTTAAACAAATTCCAAAATTATGGATTAGATGAGGATGTGGGTGATCGTCGTAAACCAGTGCGTAAAATTACACCACCACGTAACGATCACCCTCACCTTATCCTCCAGGCAACTCAAGGGGTCTACGAGAATGAGCCAGAAGAGAGGACTGATGTTGTCAAGTGTGATGCCCTGGAGGAGGAGGTCCTACCCGCATCTGGCAGTGCCCGCAACATGGCCCAACGTTTCAGACAGATGGAGAAAGAGAATGCTGATACTGCCCCTCAAGAAAGCAAGGCCAACAAACCCCAACGACGATGGGGAAGCCCATCTCTGACTGAAGGAGGACAGAGAGTTGATGCCGGAGAATTTGAGAATCAACCAGCCCCATCACAATATCGTGCTAAATCTCAGACGCCAGATAAGGGTGAATTTGAAAGTACCCCCTCTGGTCCTCGATTTGAAGAACATGTGAGCAAGGTAGAGTCTGGTGAGTTTGAGAGTCACCCAGAGCAGAGAGCTGATATAATGAGAGAGAGTGATGTGGTTGAGGAGGCCCTTCCTGCTCAAGGCACAGCACGTAGCTTACTCGCCCAATGGAAGCAGAAGGAAGCCAGCCCTGATCCAGATAATAGAGGGCCTAAACAAGGGACCCCCAAACGTTTCACCCCACCGAGAGAAGATGAGCGTGCTGCTAAACTATCACAGAGTGACGATGCAGTTGACAGTGGTCCAAGATTTCAGTACGAGAACAAAATTGATGGAGGTGTGTTTGAGAACACTCCTGCTGAAAAACCAGATGTGGTACGAGAGACTGACTCCATAGATGAAGCTTTGCCTCCACCCTCAACTGCTAAAAATATGAGAAGCTTGTTTATGCAAATGGAGGCAGAGAATAAGGAGGGAGCAGTTAAGCCAGTTGTGAAGAAAGACCCCAAAAGGTTCACACCACCACGCGATGATCAAGCTAATGGTGGTGTGTATGAAAATAACCCTGCACCATCCCCCATCATTAATGAACAATATGAAAGCAAGCCTCAAGGTGGAGTGTATGAAAATGAGCCAGACAGTAAACCTGATGTTGTTCGTGAGACTGATGAACAGGAAGAAGCCCTCCCTCCTCCTGCATTTGCACGATCCATGAAGCAGAGGTTCATGGAGATGGAGAACAAAGCCAAACAAGATGCCACCCCAGTGGTCATAGCCCCCAAGTCTAAGGTTAGTCTCTACCCTTAGACATTTACATTCCAAATTATTCACAGCTCTCACCATTATATACTATAAAAGGGTATAGATTCCATTCCTTTCAGAATTATCATTATTTTACACTTCTTTTTCGCATGGTATAAGGATTATAATTTAAGTCACTCTATTTTTGAACTTGGTGATTTTGTCTATAAGGATAGGTGATTTATAAATTGTATCTTTATGATGTATAAAAATATGTCATAAGGGACATTGATCACAGATTTATAAATGATGAAAATCAATTCTAGAAGGAATATCAATTACTCAAAGAATCATGTGACAATGTGCCTAAATATAATAGCCTTAGAAAATATACCACTATTATTAAGTTGGTACACAATGGTAAGTACCAAGAGCTTCAAGAATCTTTACTGACAGCTAAGATATTATTTATTATTAGGGATGGGAGCCTAAGGAGTGGAGACCAGAATAATCAGCAAACATACCATAAATGTACATCCCATAATTTAGTAAGATGACCTAATTGACCTCTAGATGATTCCTTGAACAATGGTTGTGCTATGAATGACAGAGTTGTAGTGCTTACTTTTTTTAGTTCAATTTGCTAGCATATTTACACATGTTTTTGGAGGCAGATTTCTATATTCAGAACTTTACATGTAGTTAAATAAACTAATCCAAACAATTTTAGGTCTTTTCAGTTTGAAAGTGCATTTTGTTAAGTTGATATGCATGATATGTAGATATTATAGTAAACATGAAATTGAAAGATGTAATTCATGATTAAATTAAATTCAAAGTAGTCTGTATACGGAAATCTGCAATTGGAAATAGGATGGCTCCATGGATTTCATCTCGATAGTTTTGTAGAAAAACCTCAGTCAACTGAACCTATTAGGTAGACTATAAACTAGTTTGCTGATAGATTTGACATGCCATCTATCAAAGTAGGTTCTCATCTCCCTCCACCTTTCTTTGGATTTTCAACGTGTTTGCCAACATTATTACCCTTGTACTCCTTTCCTTTGACAACTCTACCCTTAGAATTTTATATTGGGAATTCAAGATGATGTGGAGGAGTAATTGTTGCACTGCCTCTGGTCACATTGGAGGATCATTTAATGTTCACATATTTTATTATCCCATCGAACGAAGTTCGAGGGATATAGGGAACGCCTCCGTCCGTCCGTCCGTCCGTCCGTACGTCCGTCCGTCCGTACGTCCGTACGTCCGTACGTCCGTCCGTCCGGGCAATAACTCAAATACCGTTGGGCCGATTTTATTCATATTTTGTAAACATATACCCTATGGGGGTAGAAGTTCTGCTGGAAAGCCGATTTTCAAAATGGCCGCTCATTTAAAAATGGTGGCCATTTTAGTGCCGATTTTACAGTAATTTAGGTGCAATATGTAATACTGTAATAGCAATATGTTTTAAATGTAAAAAAAATTATATAGGACATTAATAAAGCTAGAAATGTAGATATTAAAAAAGCACATGGCAGCCATCTTGAAAAATGGCGGCCTTTTCTCGTTATTTTACGATTTTTGCTGTAACTCGAAAAGTAGTGGAGCGATTTTGTTCATATTTGGTATGTGAATACGTATAAGCATGGCACACTGTCTAATGACACTTTTGGTAGAAGGTGCCCCTTTTGAAAAATGTTCGATGGGATTCGCTACGCTTTGGCGTTGCCGTTGTTCTGGTTTTCAAAAGTAAAATCCTAGTTTCAGGTGTGATTCAGCCTATAGCTTAGATGGGTTTAGCTATTTCAATTTTTGTATGGAAAATATTCACTTGACAGTACAGTATATTGAAACATACCAGCATTTCATAACACTTATGTCCAAATTGTAATATAAGGTGGGCAAAGCACCCTCACACACACTTGGTTATCCCAGCGAACTGAGTTTGAAAGGGATATAGAAAAGCTGGCTGTCCATTCGTTTGTCTGTCTGGGCAATAGCTCAAATACTAGTTGACAGATTAGATATGGGGATATGACCTCTGCTCAAGAAGGCGTTTTCAGCATGGCCGCTCAATTCAAAATGGCTGCTAAAAATGTAAATTTTGATAACTTATTTACTACTACGAGATAGATTTTCAACATGACTGCCGAATTTACAAAATGTGACCTTTGATAACTCATATACCAGTTCAGTCATCATGTTCAAATTTTATATGCTGATGCCTAGGAAGGAATTTTCAAGATAGCCTCTAAAATCAAAATGCAACCATTTTTTCATTCAAAATATAATCTATGATAAGTCGCATTCCAGTTGACAGATTTTGCTCAAATTTGATCCATCTTTTTTATGAATACTAGTTGTCAGATTTGGTTTAGATTGGATGTGCTGATGCCTCATAGGCATATAACTCTGCTCAAGAAGGATTTTTCAAGAAGGCTACTGGCTGCCATTTTGCAGCCTTATTGATCATATGATCTCAACTCAAGAAGGAATTTTTACTCTGAAATCATGTCACATCATGGGTTTATTATTTATTATACTATTGCTTGGTTACATCATGCTATGTTCAAAATGATAAGCGTCAAGCGTTTGATAAAATGTTTTTGTTCGGTGGGATTTGCTACTCTGGGAGTTGCTGTTTTTCTAGTTACTCTGTATATTATATATGTATATTTCTGATCTACAAAGTTTAGGTTTCTTAGGAAGTGTGTCCAAAATATGTGCCTTTGTAAAACATTATCGTTATCGTCATACTTAATGGGGACGAAATGATTATGAGATGTAGAACATTAATAACTTTAGCTTAGTTGTTTGTCACATCCTGTCTTATATGGGTAATATTCTCACATAAGATGGATTCTCTTTGAAACTTATGCTGACATGTAGATCAGAAATAGTCTTAACGCATCTTTCTCTGTTGATGAAATTCTGCCATCTTATTTTCTTATTGACTTATATGTACAATGTATGTCCATGATTCCAGCATTGAATTCAGCAAATGCAACTAATCGTCACACAACCCTGTAAGAAATAATTAAGTTTTGATCCATCAACAGCTGCATTTTTTTCTTTTTTTAGTTTGACATTTTTTATTTATTTCATTAAATCCTCTAAATCCATATACATGTTTGTGTTATCATCCATGACCTAGCAGCTGAATGCGGTTTGGCTCAAGAGTCACCTTCATCTAACCATTAACCCTGATTCCTCTAACAAAACATACTTCTAAAGTTAATACCTGTTTTTGCAACTTCTGTGATGATTCCATGTTTGAATTCATCATGACGTTCTGACAGGATGTTGCAAAACAGGAAAGTAAAGTTAGATCAGTGATCATGAAAAACAATTTAAGGCCTATTAATGCTATTTGATGTAAATCTAAAATATACTTTCTAGAATTTTGTCTTGTACATGTATGTTATCTAACAATGGAATGTTTGTTCATCTATATAAATGCCTGAACTCTGAATTTGTTGTTTAGTTGATTCAGTTTGCATGCTATTTGATGTCTAACTATTTCTTTCAATGGGATGTTTGTTCATCTTTGTCAATGCCTGAACTCTGAATCTGTATGTATCTGTTGTTAGCTGATTTAGTTTGCATTGTCCATGCTTCATTAGTGTGCAGCATTTCATCTAACTTCATAATTACAATATATGATTGATAACCCTGCATGACAGTAACTCCTAAGGATCATATAGTAATCATTTTCTGCTTATAGGGAAGAAGGTTTGCTCAGTTTGGCTCTCAAAAACTTTGGTTTGTTTATAGATTACAATTTTTCCTTCATTGTATTTTGGCCTTTACCCTTTTATCAATATTATCCCAATGAACGAAGTTCACAGGGATCAAGTAGACCAATTAATTTCTGTTTGGTAGAAGGATGTATAATGCTAAATGGTTTAATCCAAAATATATATTTTACAATATAACCTCTGAAATAAAATTAGCTAAATTTTTTAGGGAGGAAACTGATTTTGCTCTTCTGATCTCTTTGTTAAATATGGCTGAGAGTTGTGTTCTCCATTTAGAAATTAAAAGTGTGGCAAAATTATCAAAAATGAATAAATGTTTGTAGCTCCAAATTATAAATCCATTGTAGTTATAAATTCAGTTGTTTGTGTCTCACATGATGAAATCATAGCCATAGTTTAACACTGTGGTGAAACTCTTCAAAATATTTACAAAAACATATTTGTTCCAGCATTTCATGTTTGAGGTAACCCCCAACATTGTTTTCATTGATATAATATTGTGATAAAGAATATTTCCATCTATTTAAAGCATGAAATATTCAAAATGACGATTTTGACAGGATTTAGGAAAATGTTTTGTTTTTTGGGATATACTACTCTGTGTAGTTGCCATTTTCTAGTTTGTCTAACTATATAATAATCTTTGTATTTATCAACCCAACTGGACCTCTGAGCTTTATATTCTGGGATTCACTATATGCCATGGGCGTAGCGCCCGGTACGCTGGGTGCACACAGGCGTACCAGATGGTTGCAAATTTGCTCCAAATATAACCAAATTTGAAAATTTTCCGGGGGGAGAACCCCCAGACCCCCCTGAATGCTCGTTTTTTGATTCACTCAACTCTTGTTCCTGTGGTCGTGGCGTACTACTTGAAAAAATAGCGCTACGCCCATGTATGCTGGTGCCTTTTAAAAATGTGCCAGTAAAATGTGTCATATAGTGTATTACCACCAATTTTATAATGATCAAAATTAAAGCATTTTACCCTTATAATATCCCTGTTGATTAAAACTTTGTGTTTAAGTGTATTAAAATGTAAATGTCAAATCAAAATGTTGTTTGAGAAGTTGGGAAACCATTAGATCTTGGATAGAATGAACTTTTACCCCAAAAGTTAGAAGAGAATATATTACGTAGTATATTATATAGTTTAATTATTTATGAGCAAAACCACTAACTGTTTTCTAGAAGATATAGGTATTTTAGAATGAATAATTTGAATTTTCATGTTGATGGGAGAACAAAAATAATTGATTGAGTTAGAAGATTGGTTCTTACCAAGATTTAATGGTCAACTTTAGTCTTGAAGTTCATGTAATATTAATGTAATAACTTAATGTATCAATTCTATAATTTTTATAGATATCTTGTGCATGATATCAATATAATAGAAGACTTGACTGGAATAAGAACCTGTTAATTATTATACATATAGCATGTCCCGCTTTCAAGTACTCTTTCCTAGACTTTAAGGATTCTAGTTGAAATAAGATAACCATATTAGGTGTAAGTGGAAACGTTGTAGATGAAAGTAGCCAATCCTCAGGCTGAGTTTAACCGACTTTTTCTCAAGAAATTCTTGTCTTATTCATACTTTGAAACATTTCCATTTGATTTCTGTGGACTATGCATGACATTTTGAATACAGAATACTTGTTTATATTGATGTCATAAATCATTGATTTTTCGGCTATTTTGATCAGTTTTTGCACAATTTGACTGTCATTATCAACATCTTACATTTGCCTAGTCCACATAAAAATGCAACATTTCAAAGTTTTTGGGAATACAATTAAAGTTTTAGAGCATACTCTTGTAAACTGTCTTGGAACAGAGTTTCTCTCAGGTAAGACAAATTTTTCTACAAATCATCCTCCATGGGTTTCCATCTCTCAAGAGTAAAATCAGTTTAACTTGAGCTTGATTGTGAACCAGCTTCACTAATTTACATTTCCACTTCCACCCAGTGAACCAGTATCTAAGGTTATATTTCTTACATGACTAACTCAGATTAAGCCATCTTAACCTCACAGTTGTCTTTCATCCTGAGCTGAAATTACTTGTGACATGATTTACTTATATACAACAAAAAAATGGCAACTTAAACACTGTTGCTATGGGTGCCACTACATCTTTGACAGTTTGCTTTGATTTCATAACAATGGACTTTATGTCTATGCACATCCAAGTATTGTAATGTCATAATAATGAAAAGAATAAAATTCCAATCATTAGGAAGTTGATTTTCACCCAAATTTTGCTTTTACCATATTTTTGATAAAAGGTGAAAATATAGTCATATGAGAAATACTCTCTTGTTTTCATAATTTTGAATTATCAAAGCTTATCAGTAATGGACTTCAAACGAGACCCCCTGTATATGTATTATCAGGAATGGACTTCAAACGAGACCCCCTGTATATGTATTATCAGGAATGGACTTCAAACAAGACCCCCTGTATATGTATTGCACATTCTGAGCTATAGTTGCGGGCACAAACTAGCATTCCATTCGTATCAGAATGTTTGTTATTTAGCCATTATGTCAGGGAATGTGTTTATGTATTTTATTTTGCCATAAAAAGTAATTTCATGTAGGATCCGCCATTCCTTATAGAGTGTGAAAGCAAGATGTCATTGATAGCTCTTTCCTGTACCCTACCCTGCGGATATCATCTGAACAAATTGCTTCATTTATTCAAGCAGGATTTATAAAGTTTGGTGGCACATACATGTATATACTTAATAAAAATAATTGGTTATGTTGTGTTGTGTTGTAGTGTGATTTCAGTAATAACTCTATTTCAATAATGGTTTATACTCCATTTAGCATGTGCATGTAACCATGGAGATATGTTATCTGGATACCTAACAAAGTGAAGTATCAGCTGTTGACTTGCTGAGAGAGGGAATTCCCTACCTGACCTACATTAGATGTGTGTTTCAGTAATGTTATAGCTATGCCAACATGGCTTCTTTTAGCAACATTGAAAAGCCTACAAGCGCATATCAGTTTGTTCCCAATGGCATCATTGACCAAAATGATGTCCGGTCTTTCCCAGGGGAATACATTTGATTACGAGACTCTCATTTTGATTCAAATATAGACTTGTCACATGACTGAAACACCCATTTAAAGTAGGTCAAACGGCTGTTGGGTATCCAGTGATACATCCCTAAAGTAACACAGAGAAAGTCTGATCATTTCTGTGGGACTTTAGGGATGAAATAAGTTTAAAATATTGATGTTAAATCACTTGATCACATTCTTGAATTTGATTTGCAATTGGAGTAAAATTTAATTTATTAAATGAAAAATATGTTTTAGAGCTGTTTGACATTCTATGTGCATATATAGATGTATCCCTGCTAAAAGGCTTTAATTGATCATCTTACTTGACTTGACCAACTTGCATCACAGCCACACTCACAACATGGAATTTATCACTTGAATGGTTCTCTCATTGTGCTTTTCTTCTTCATGTACTTTTCATATGATGTCATTTTTAGCTTTTTTTATATTATTTATACTAATTTTCAGAAATCCACTACAAAGAAGAAAAGATGGACCCCTCCTGTTGCCCCAAGCCAAGCAGAAGAAAGCAAGCCTGCCTCTAGTGAACGTAAATCGTCACAGGCTGCCACACATAAGGCAGCACCTTCTGGCCTCAAAAATGCACCCCTTCAAATTGTAACTAGCAATGTATCAGAAAGTGATTCAATTGATAAAGCCCCAGAGATTGTCAAATCCACAGATGAGCTAAATGATGACCGCCCACCCCAGGGGATCTCACGTGGCTTAGTTGCCAAATGGAAATCAATGGAGGATGTATCAGTTGGTGCCCCTACTCCAGAGAAAAGTGAAATAACTCGTAAAATGTCTACTAAGCGGGATCGCAATCCATATTTATCTAAGAGAATAAGCTCTGTGAAGGATTTTGATGATACATTTGAACGCCATGAGCCAGATGGTGTTGAACAAACAGAAATAGTGTCAGAGAAAACCCCTCAAGAAATGATGGGAGATGGAGGGGTGTTTGAAAGCAGTCCAAATGTCAACCCAAATTTGATCAGTGAAAAAGATAGCCATGATGAAGCAGAGATGCCTGAGCATGGCATTGCTAGGAACCTGCTAGCAAAGTGGAAATCAATGGAAGTGATTCCTGGCTCAGAATAGGTATTTCTTAAATAGATTGTCTATAGATTAAAATATAAAATATTATAATCAAGATGATCTCTTGAAACTGATCAAAATCAAGTGCATTCCATTTTCTGACACCCCTCCTTGCAATATGTGTACAGTTGGATTAGTCCATTCATAGGGGAGCAAGCATGCTCAGCGTACACTAGGGCGATATTTACTGATATATAATATGTATAAAACTATGATATGCTATATAAACTGTATATACTTATACTGTATAAGTAGTTTGGACATTTTAAAGGTATGCAATATGAGGGGTCTATACTTTATATGAAATTATGTATATATATTTTAAATAATGATGCCAATCATATACTTGTATGTGTTAATTATTCAAATTATATGTTATTGTAAATGTTTGCATTCTACAATAAATTGAAAAATTTGAGTACATGGGGATCTAGCTAACTGGCTGAAATAAAGGATGGTCATCTGCTCGAATCAATTGAAGCATCACTATATGTTACTAGATTAATAGAAAACAAGTTGAATGTAGAAAGCATTATAAATGTGGTTAGTTTTATATTTATACGAATGTACAATTTGATAATTTAAAGGGTGGAAAAAGAAATGTCAATATGATAAAGTTTTGCACAAATGTGTTAAATCAAAAAATATAGAATTTCCTGGTGGAAAAAGTAGTTGTTATTCTCATATATGAGATTGATGTTTAATATTGTGTTTTTCAATTTTTTCTATCTTATGTTACATGCAATGTTCAAAAATTGACAAATTTTGGCCCACCCTGTAGTCACTCTATTCAGACAGTACTTGCAGAAAATGCTTGATGCTTTATATGTGGACATGGTGCAGAGTTAATGGTCAGTTTTACATTTGAATTTGTGATATTTTATAAACCAAGCCATGTTGTGTATTCAGTTATATTCCATACAAGTGTATATTCATACCCAATGCAAAGGAAATAGTTGCGTACTTCATTCTTTAGGGATAGGCATTAAACCTTCACTTTCACTAGTCTGAATAACAAACTTCAAATAACAAAATTCAAATGGCTCCAAACCACACAAACATCCTCACCAAGCATTTCTACAAGCACTGTCTGCATAGGGTAGCCATTATGATGTATGCTTATAAGATAAAATGTAAAAGTGAATAAAAATGTAATTTACTTCTTCATGAATACAAAATTTGTGATAGTTAAATGATTTATTTCTAAGCTTTTAATGTGTTTTATTCAATACATGTTTGTAATAACTGCTTCAGTTTAATATGATGTAAAATGAAACTGTATTCTGGTAGTATCTGATCATTGAGTTGACTTAGTCAATAAAAACCACTTGAATTACTTTATGACTATGCAAGATTTACATAGATGTTTTCTAGTGGTCAATGTACATGTATTACTCTTTTCTAACACTCTGTTACAGTGTAATGAACTTAATATTTGTTATATTTGTGCTTTTGAGCAAGAGAAATGTTTAGCTAATAAGGACATGTACAGTGAAAACGAAGAAATGAAACATTCAGAAATTGAAAAAAAGTTAATAGCTACAGGGTAAGTGAAGAATGTGTCCCACTTTACATCTAAATATTTTGGTAGCATTCATTCTGTATTCTTCAAAATCCAGAAATTGACAGTAACATTAATTATGTGAGGTGCATTTCACTGAATATACCTCCTATACATTAATTATGTGAGGTTCATGAAAATCTGTTAAATCATACACAGTCATGCACTTTTTGCTGAAACCCTGAAATTGAGGGTGAATATATCAATTCTTGATTTGAAGAAAGTGTACACTTCCCACCGCTTCTCTAAACTGAAGAGCATCTCATGATAATTTCTGTCATTTTCTTTACATAGCCTTGGCTAATGATAGCCAATAGATGTCTGTAGACAATGACCTATTTTTCAACTGTTACTGCATGATGCATCTTAAAATTGATAATGTATGGGAAAGAAATCTCTTGCATTTTGAGAATCCCCATTTTAAGCTTTGGACCACCTCAGACCCGAATGACTTGAATGAATGCTGCAACAAGCGATTTATTTTTACAGTATTCATCAATATTTATTAAACGACATGAATTGATGTCATCATAAAATACATCAGACAGTTACTGTTGAAATTTAGGTAAAGACAGCCTCCCTTTACAACAGATTACTAAAGTAATCCCTTACAACAATAACAAATTAAACAATTTGGCTACTATTGCTAAACTTTGGTATATTAACTCTTCTTAACTTTATATTCAAAGGTACAATATTATAAGATGTGATCTGAACAATGTTTTTCTAATATTTAATAATGATACTTTCATTTGTATAATTGAAATTTGATATGTATTACTGTATATAATAATATAACTGCTTATAATTGTTGTAAGACTATCATTCAATATTATTTGCATAATGTAAGATTTAATGCAAAGTAAAAAGTATTTAGTCAAGCAAATATATGATTTGTCCAGCACATTTTAGAAAATGTTTGTATGTTAGTATTGTGTTTAAACTGTTTATCCCACCTTACAACATTGAGTAGGGATACAACAAACCCATTTGTCAATTTTGTTTCATATTTTACAGGCTGATGCCTTATACATGACCTCTGCCACTAAAGAATTTTTTGTCAACATCGAGAAGGCTTTGCATTTAACTTTAATTTAAAAATACTGTCTTGATGGATTTATACACTATGCTAATGTGTAGAAATCTACCCAATGACTTTAAAATCAAGCAAATTTGATATTCCAGGCTATAAATTGAATAGTACATGCCCATTTTGGTTTATTTTGATTTGTTACAGGTGTCGTTTTTGAAAAAGGGAGATGTTGCAACTGCTTTGGTTATATCTAGCATAATGGTGAATAAATAATGTTTTGTTTGGTGGGACTTACTACTCCATGGAGCTGCTGTTTTTCTTGTGTTGTAGCAGTGGCAATGTGTAGTATAGGACATGTAGGATGCTGCAATATTTTTAACTCAGCTTTTACAGTAAATCACTTATATTCTAAAGGTCATATAACCCTCCAGCCTCTTAATGTGCTAAAATGTTTAAATGAAGTATGATTTGTATGTAAAAGCATATATTCTCTATACAGTTGAACTTTATACAATGCTTTATGATATTTCAGACGTGACACAGCATATTCAAGTTTGTTCACTTTAGGTGTATTCACATGCTCAGAAATTTCAATTTCTTCCTAATTGGAGTCCCATGATATTTTCGGGTACACATAACGCATTCCATACATGCCGTACATCTTTCAGTTTCTTTTAGTCAAGGGTTGGTTAATATATTCTAGATATACATTTTTGTACTACTAATTTTCCATACATTGCAATTGTTGAAAATTGTTAACCCTCAACTTTCAATCCAGGAGCATGTATGAAGAATGCCCTGTGATGTAGACTATTTATGGAATGATTTATGTGCACTTGAACATTCAAAGAAAAAGTTAAGACATTTAGAGGATCAGTGTACATTTGTATTATCTTACAATAATTAAAACTTCAATTATGATTCTCAGTCTTAATAAATTTCCGATTTTCTAAAAAAGCTTTATTCTTATAGTACTTAAAATACTGAGATAGAGAGTAAACATTTATGTTTATGTACTGTTTGCAAATCATGTAACATTGTAATACCAGCAGTTTATCAAAAATCTAGTTTAAATAAGCTTGAAAATATACTTCAAAAAAAAGAATGTAAATATATGATGTTAATTAACTTCCAGTTATTGGTTGTGCTGTGGTTGCTGCAGTTGAGTAACCACAATAACTATTATGTCACCACCAAAAGTGGGGACATATTGTTATGGTCTCCATTTTTGTGATGGCAGTTGGCGTCTGGCATTCGCATCTGTAACAAATGACAGGTGGTGACATTTCGCATGTTCATCGTCTCCTGAAGGAAAATTGTCTCAGCTCAATGCCACTCTGATGCTAATTACCTAGTCGTCCATTTTATTTTTCATCACATCTTATCCCCTACCTAATCATCCTTATCACTAAAATGGCAGCAAGAGCTACCAAATCATTCCCATGGATCATGGCCCTAGTGCTATAAGAAAGTTAAGCTTTGAAAAAATTGAAGTAACTTCTATAGTCAACATTTAAAACCAAAACCGCTGAATGACTGTACATGGAGCTTACTGTCAAATACAAATGACCTTAATTTTCTCTTCAAATACAACATTCTGTTTGATTTTGACCATGTACCATCCTAAACATTGCCATAGCTATATTATCAGAAGTGGCTTATAATTTTACATTGATGTAGGTATTGAACATTTATTTGGATATCATAAAATATTGAAAATAATGTTTTAAAAACATCAAACAACAAAAAATATTGAGAATTTAATGTAACAAAGTTTTTACTTCAAAATTGCCATAACATAACATTGATAAATGTCCATGGGTGACTGTCTGGAGGGACGAACATAAGCATCCTCTGTATCCCAAACTTCATTCTATGAGATTAAGTGTTATTTTGGATCACCCTACCTAATAACTAGTAATAATGTTGACAAAATTAATAGGATCCCCTGGCGGGCCTGCTGATAAATATTACATTGTCACTCCAAACTTTGAATGGATTTCCATTCAACAGGTAAGTAAAATAAATATTCAAAAATCTCTCTACATATATTAAATAATATTTTGGCATTCTGGCATTCAACATGATAAACATATTTATATCAATTAAATAATTTTTTTGTAACTGCGTTTCATCTCTCACTATTTCATGTATTTTCCCCACACATACTCAATATTACAAGGACAACAGGACATCAGGGAAGGTTTGATACTACACTATTTTCATAACCCTATCATTATATTTCATTTTATGTTGACTAACGTTTCAGTATAACTACGGTGGCCAACCAGTCTCTATTCAATCATTGTTCAATACAATATTGTAAATGTGGTTTGTGCGTGAGAATATTTTCAATTCCACTTTTATGTATGATAGAGCTGCAATGAATATGCTGGTGTTTTCATACTTTTTAGATTAATAGATCTAGTTCGGAAAAATTCCAAAATCATTTTCTCCATACAGTAGAGTAGCAAGTTCCTCAATAGATGTCTTTGGTACCAGACCTATCAACACTGCCATCTTTAGGGCAATTCCTGACTTATTCACGACTTGTTCTTCATCTTCTATCACCTGAAATTAATAAATAGAAAAATAAAATCAAAGTTGCTTTTAAAGCATATAATTAAAGGGGCTATATTTCAAAAGAAGCAATTGAAATTAATTGTATTTTCATGAATCAACTAACCTCTATTAAGATGAAGATGTTGTTAGGAAGGACCATTCTCAGTTTGGAGAATGAAGTTCATTGGATTTTTTCGACGTTATCAATGTCACCAACAATTTTGATTTTTTTACATAGTTTTGATTGAAATGTGATCAAATTATGGTAATATTTTTTATTTATTTCATAAAACAGCGAACCCCAAATATTTCATGTATTAAATTCCAATTTTTTTTTTTTCAATTCAATTATTTATTTCATAATTCTTATATAATATACACTATAAAAACAAGCCGCTAGACACCCTAGTGGGTATATGTTGCGGTTTAACAGAAATCATTAAAATGACAACTAGACTACATATAAAAGAAAACACTTATATTATGTTACATGTAGGTATATAAAAATGGTATTAACAATTAATCTAAGGATGTACAATGTAAAAATGTTACAAAAATCAGGTACCAGTATAAAATCAACAGTATAGTATGATATTGGTATTATACATTATCGATAGATGAGTAGTTTTTTATATGAAGATTTGAAAATATTTAGAGTGGAGCTTTTTTTAATATCATGTGGTAGAGCATTCCAAAGATTAGGACCCAGATAGCGAAGGGAAAGTTTAGAGCATTTAGGGATATGAAAATAATGCAATTGTCTTGTGTAATGATGATGAATATTAATGTTGATATCAAACAAGTCTTGAAATAGATTTTTTGGAAGACTGGGGTGCTTATTAAAGATTTTGTACATGAACTGACCAGTACAATATCTGTTGACATCAAAAATATTTAATATTCTAAGATCTTTAAATAGGGGAGCGGAGTGAGAAAGTCTATCCTTATTTAAAGCTAGCCTTAAGAATTGTTTCTGCAGTTTATGTAGACGATCATAAAATGATTTAAATGTGTTACCCCAGATTATGTTGCAATAATTTAATTGAGAGTGTATCAATGAGTAGTAAATTGTTTTGAAACTGTCTATTTGAAGTAGATGTTTAATGTGATAAAGAGAACCAATGACGCGAGAAATCTTTGTTTCAACAGATTTTATGTGCTCTTTAAATTTCAAGTTTTTATCAATAATAATTCCAAGAAAGTCAATTTTTTCCCGGAAAGTTATGTTCTCATTGCGTATTTTAAGATTCAGATTTGTTTGATTTTTTTGGGGTCCAAATAGAATAGCATTGGTTTTGCCAATATTAAGTGAAAGTTTGTTTGCTTTTATCCAGTCATCTATTGAATTCAAGTTTGCATTAGTTCTAGTCATAAGTACATTTAAATCATAATCACTATCAAGAAGATTGGTGTCATCAGCAAACATAATAAATTTTAGATTAGGGGCAACAAAAGGCAGATCATTTATGTAAAGAATAAATAATAGTGGTCCAAGTACCGAGCCCTGCGGAACACCACAATTTAGAGATGATTGTTTAGATTCATAATTGTTAATGGTGACATATTGTTTGCGGTCTTTTAAATAACTTTCAAACCAGGACTTAGCAATTCCTCTGATGCCATAATATTCAAGTTTTTGTATCAAAATGTCATGATTAATTGTGTCAAAGGCCTTGGAAAAATCTAATGTTATGCCAATGCTCGTTTTCCCCAAATCAGTTGATTTTCGAATTTGTTCAATGAAATATAAAATGGCCATGTAGGTAGAGTTGAATTTCTGAAATCCAAATTGATAAGTAAAAATAATTTCAAAACGTTGACCATATCATCTAAGAAAATTGAGCTTTTTGTCACCAGACATGTTTAGAGATGGAACTGTAGTTGTCTATATCTATTTACAACATTTTGAAGTACAATCATGCATAACATGTCTCTTTATGTAAGAATTCATTTTGATTAGAGTAAGTATCAATTTCAATAGCCATTTGTCTTTAATAACGAAGGTAGGGGTTCGCTCATATTTGTTTTATGAAAGAAATAAAAATACATGTATTACCATAATTAAATCTTAAATATTCAAAAGATCACATTTCAATCTACACTATGTAAAAAATCTGAATTGTTGACGACATTGGTAACGGCGAAATAAGCTATACTAAGCCTTCACACTCCAAATCGAGAATCCTTTTAACTGCAATTTAATTTAGCACATTGACCATCAGACTTCACATATTGCTACCGATAACGCAATTTTATCTCTCCTGGTATCAGATTTTTTAAACTAAACCAGCAGGGATTCCGTAGTTTTTATCAATTCATCCTGAATTGAAAGGGCCATTAAATTGAAGCAATTTGAAGTGAATTATTTCTTAATCCAAGCAAAGATGTGTGTTTTGGCGAATAGCTCTCTAAACTAAGGTTGCCCAAAACCACTGAAAGGAACAACATTGTGTAAGGACAATTCTGAGCAGATTTGAGGATGTATCATCCCATTTGAACTCCTAATCAACTCACCCTATCTACACGATGCTTGTACACCAAACCATCCCCCTGCAGATAGAATGTAGATATACCTTCATAGATCCTGAAATAAATATTTATTAATAAATTAATTGTGAATATCTTAGCACAATATGCCATCAATTGTAAGGAAAGTTATAGGAATTAAAAATGGTCTTCCTTGATCCAGAATATAGGAATGTGGGGAGGAGTCCATATATGAAAAGTAACATGTGACAATTGCATCAATATGGTCCAAAAGTACACATGTAATATTACATATTTTCCTCTGCAAACATCTTAGTTAGTTGTAATTATGTTTGCTATAGCAACTTAAAACAGACAAGTTGTGATGAATAGCAACTTAAAACAGACAAGTTGTGATGACTGACACTGGAGTCCACCCTCACTGCGTCACTAGAGTAAACTGTAAAATGGTCTTTAGTCCATTCAGCAAGGTTGATTTTTTTAAAATGGCTTTCTTTTTGCCCATGGGGAAAAACTAAATTTAAAAAAAAATTATTTTAGTATTACCAGAGGCCAATTTCTAGAGGAAAGAGATAGTATCACTCACTCAGATTCCTGTGTAACAACTTTTCGGAACCTTCCAGGAAAGAATTTCCAAAAATTGGTCAAGATCTTCATTTGTGGAAGTGCCTGGACCCTCCAATGTGCACGAACTGTTCCATCTGACTCGTGTGTTGTGATTTTCAAGAGTTCAACTTTGGTTTGCACATATTTGAAATGTACTGCCAGACGTAGCTTTACGATGTAGAATAGATAAGCCTGAATACCTCTGGAAGACAACAAAGCAAATGTTATTCTTTTTTGATTGTTATTTTTATATGTACAAGTATTTATGAAGCCTGGTTTACACTGAGTAGTTGTTTAACCTTTCTTGCTCCAATGGGGGAAAGATAACTGTTTTTTTGCCAAGTCCATAGGTCATTGAAGCTTAAATCTAATATCTGGTCAATTTGAAGCACTACAAACACACACAGCCACTCATTTTTACCATTGGGAGAACATTTCCGGTGGTGTTAAGTATCGATTGAGGTAAGAAATATGTGCACATAGCAAGCCTCAATATTTTTCAATTTTGAAATGTAATGTAGGCCGCTATTCAATACTCGCAAGATGATCAATCTTGGAACTAGAATCTAGATAACAATAATAGACTCATGGGGATTATCAGGTTATCATAAATTATTATTAGATGACTAAGTTCTCTGAGGACCCAAAAGTACTTATTAAAAGACAGGTCAGTGTTAAACCTTGTTTTATATGCAGTATCAAGCTATTGCCAATGTCACTATTTACTCGCCTTATTTTAAAATAACATTATAGCGAAACATCAACCTGTAGTTTCATTTCAGAAGAAATGCTATACTTACTTAGAAGTTACACTTGGTCCCCAGAAATTGTTCTCAAATGTAACGTCATTTATGTAAATTCTGTAGTCATGAGTTCGAAATATCTTTGGGATCTGAAAACAAAATTGATGTAACAGTGTCCATGTTTTTCAACTGGTATGAATTCTAATTTTTTCTTAATTTGTTAATACTGTCATAGCAAATTGACCCGGGGGTGGCACTCTCGCGAATAATGCATGTAGCAGATATTAAGTGTTTTACAGTAAATTGTTTTTTCATAAATATTACAAAAATTCTATCTATCACGTGAAAAAGTACCACATTTCAACCAAGGTAAGGCATTTGCTATATCTATTCATTGTTTGGTTGCCTACATTGATAACTAGAATTGGAAAGAAATACAGAATCGGAATATTAATTGAGTGATCAACTGACTGTTCAAGATTTATGACAATCAAAGTCTATTTTGCTTACAGAATCTGTTAAATGCTCTTTCATGAGGAGAAGTGTTTCTTCAGTGGGTTTTTTCCCTGGTTTCCTTTTAGTTGTGCTTTGTACTGGTGATGCCTTTGGATCAACTTTTCCCTTAGAGTCACTCATCAAAACACAGTGGATTCCTTTAGCACTATCCAGGGGTGCACTATTGTTTATCTTACTGACGAACGTAGACTGGATATTTGGCACACTGCAGGGAGTTGTGTGTGATATTGAAGTTGTAGGATAAACATGTTGTACCACAATTGTATCTGGGAGATTAGTTTGAACTCTTTGTACAACTGTGACATTTTCTTTAAAACGACTGATTATTCCAGTATCATAATTGTCCAATGACCCTTTCCTTTTAATGCAGCTACTTTCTTGGAAGTCAACAGCTGTAGAGGTATTTGTATCCTCATGTATAATAATGTCATCTGAAGTATAACTAAAAGGTTGAACAACACTGCGAATAAGCTTCAACTCATCAAGTAAATTACTTAATGGACCAGTCGCATGTGAATCTTTCAAATCTTCAGAATGAGACTGATGACTGGGTAAACCATTATGTTCATTAGAAACACTGTACAATGATTTCATTTCATAGGACTCCCATGGATATTGTACAAGAGCCTTGCACACTTGTTCTGTAATCAATGATCTTGATCTTTCATCACCTAGCATCTTACTGTCGCTTTGAGGTCTCAGTGATGCTGGAAGTGCTTTTTCTGTCATCATTAGAAAAGCGGACATTCTTGATGACAGTGGTGCTTGACCAATTGTATGTGGCAGCCCTGAAGCACCTACCTGGAAAATCACAACATTTATCAACATTATTGAAGAACAGAAGAAATCTATTTTTGAACACAGCACCGCCATCTTTCAATTGGCCAGCATTTTAAAATGTCCGCCATGAACTTCAGAAATCATTTCTAAGTACATTACGAGCACATTACCGAATTGAGGTTATATCCGGTTTCTTCAGTATCCAAGTACATTACAAACCAGGGGTTTCACTAGAATTTCTCACAACAGGCGATTTTGTGAAAATAACCATTTAAATTGCCTGTTGCCTGCTGCTAATGAAACCCTGTACTGCAAGCATTACTGAAATGAGAATACCTCATACAAAGATATCGAATGTAACCTCACTCAGTAATTTATTTATTGACTGGTATTTAAACAGAGAGGTTTTACAAACATATTTAGATTTATTCATCACACAAATGAATATGCAGTTCCTACTTTGAATGGAATTGCACTGTTTGTGTTTTAAAAAGCTTATTCTATCAAGAAGGTTTTTATATTTCAACATTCAATTGATCAGTATCTCTCAGAATTATTTATCTGGCTGTGATCATTTTATGCACTATACATTATGGCATCAAATTTCAATACTGGTATCACGCACACCCAATTTCTGACTATTGGTAATACCGCAAAAGTCAAAAAATCGTTATGTTGAAATTCAAAATCCCAATGAAAACTCTTCCTCTGACATCCTCGCATAGATAATGCTCTTCAAAATGGAGGCCCGAAATGTTAAGATCGCTTTGGGTTTTCTAATACCCTGCATGCAGAGACTACTTATAAACTACCCTCTGCCTAGTATATAAGTTCAGTTTAGCCCCAAAGATTGGTGCCAACCTTACTATATTTGCACATAGCCATCTTTAGATTGATGGCTATGGAAAACTTGATATTCTCAGTCCTTTATAAAGGTCTTTTGTAATCATTTGAAATGACGTCACTTCTCAAAAGGAATTCTCAACGAGCTGCATAGCAACCGTGGAATAAACAATTTCTGATCGCTAAAGATCAGTCCCTTGCAAAATACTGAGTAATTACTTATATCTACGGTTCATTACGAATCACTAAATAATTATCTTACGAGTGAATTCTTACATTAGAAATTAAGGTGCTATGGAAGTTAACAGGAAATGACAAAACAGGAAGTGACAAAATTTTTGCATTTTTAGACATTTTTTGAACAAAGATAACCGAGTTCTGTTTTGACCTCCAGTCAATTCAACTAGTTCCAAATACCATTTACAGGTCCAGGATCACAATGTTCATGGTCAGAATGACCCTAAACATGATGAGATAACCTTTTCAGCCCTCTGAAAATGTGACTGAAAAATAGCTAAAAGAAAGAGGTAGGAAAGGTCACTGAACACAACCTTAATAATTTTTCAGAAAATTTGCGCAATATATTGCTTTAAATGATACAATCTTTGAAAATTTGATATCATTCACAGAAAAAGAAAAAAAATGAAAAAACTGATTTGAAAAGCGATCTATTTTCCTTTTTATGACCGCCATTTTCGTTTAAGACAATTTTCTAAAATTTCAAAGATTGTATCAGTTAGAGCATTATATTGGGCACATTTTCTGAAAAATTCAAAAGATTTTGTTCAGTGACCTTCCCTTGCTCCTACTTTTAGCTTTTTTTCAGTCACACTTTCAAAGGGCTAAAAAGGTTATTTCATCATGTTTAGGGTCATTCTGACCATGCACATTGTGATCCTGGCCATGTAAATGATATGTGGAAATAGTTAGATTGACTGGAGGTCAAACCAGAACTCTGTTATCTTTGTTCAAAAAATGTCTAAAAATGCAAAAATTTTTGTCACTTCCTGTTTTGTCATTTCCTGTTAACTTCCATAGCATCTTAACATCTCATAAAATATGTCGAATTTAATCAGTAGGAAACACGAAGAAATACATTTTTAACGATCATTTTTTAAAGTAGGTCGAATTTTTTAAAAGGGTAAACTTCCCGGGAATTTTAGATTGTCACGTCTTGTTTGAGAACGAGACCTTGCCAAAGGCCCGTCTTTTTAGTCAGTCGACCTGTTCAAAGTACATTTAGTTTTATAAATCATATTTCAGAACAATTTAGGAAACAATATTTTCTATCTACGTCAATTACAAAGCATCTGAGGTACTGTAGATTGGGTTAATTTGGCGCTACTTACTTTGGCGATTTTGCCATTTTTGGCGGCTATTTAATTCGGCGGTTATGCAAAAAAAATAAAATTAATTTTTTAAAAAAATTAAATGCAATGTTAAACTTACGCGCTGTTTGCGAATTACCATGTAAATGGGCATGTTTGGCTATGTTCATTTTTCTTTTGAGGACAGCTGGCGATATTCACCACGTTTGTACATTTTTGTGAGATCATCCTACATTTTGCATCTCGATCAATGCTGCTACTATACCACACTTTTCCTTTCTAGTTTTTCCCTCAGTATTTATGAGTGACAGACCAGTTCTGAGCCAATTTATGAGAGACATTTTTTCATATTTTGGGAAAAAACTAAACCGGAGGTGACCTAAACTTACTTCGGTCCAAAGCCTTCTCTATATTCCGGCTTTGAGTAGAAAGATTGAGCTGCCTTGTTATTGTAAATATTGTAAATCATTGTGTCACACGCACAGTAAATACTAGTGGTGTCAATTAACCGCTTGAGCATTAACCGGTTAACCAGGTGTTTTTACCGGTTAAAGTCGGTTAACCGGCGGGAAATTTGAACTGATAATTCCAAATGAAATCTTCATCTTCGATCTTGAAAGTTGAAAAAAATTGGAAAAATGATAAATCGGCGTTTATTTTTTACGTTCGTCAAGCTTTACTCTATTCTATTCATACACTACCTGACTACTGGTACCTCTACATAACTTACCACACTGGTTTACCCTTGGAATCTCCACCATAACACCGAGAATTGCAGCTGATTAGTGTTTATTTTAATTTTAATTTTGACATGTATGAGTAGCTTATGTGAAACTGACACTTTAAAACCAAACAGATTAGCATGCAATATAAGCGCGGGAAATAACAGAATTATACACGGTCAACTAACCATCCATGAAAACACAGACCGGTCAAGGCATTATCGGCGGTTAACCGGTTAATACTTGACACCTCTAGTAAATACGGCATAATAATATGAAATATACCTCTATGTATAGATTTGAGAAACATCAGCACACATCTCTGTCTGAATCTATTGTTATAGTTGATTTCTTTAAGCGAGAATAATTTCAAAGTTTCCTCCATTCGGAACCGGAAGCCATTTTTTAGCTATAGCGAGAAAATTTCACCATGTGTCAAACTCCGAAAAGAAATTTTGAAATATCTAAATCCAGACAAGCAATGCTTCATCCTAAATATAATTAATATTTTTAAAAATATTTATAAAATTTATTAAAAATGATTTCTAGGTGCGTGTAGCAATTTTTACATACGAAATATGAGTACATACGAAATCAATGAAGTTACATCTAGCTGTAAGCTAGAGACTCGAGTAAACCTAAACACACTGGACGAAATACCCTAGATAATTCCCGGGGATTCATTCTAAATTTTGGCGAAGATTTATATTGGCGAATTTTTCAATTTCGCCAAATTCGCCAAATTAAAGCGGGCGCCAAATTAACCCAATCTACAGTAACTAAATTTATATGAACAACTGAGTCAATAGGGATAAATAGCCAAACGAGAGTCGGCGCTCTTGAAAAATACTTGGATCTTGATTCCAATCCTGGTATTGATATCTCGTTCGAAGAATGTATTTGACGTCCGTGGATAGTAATTCTTTATGTTCCCCACTGTAAGCTAGATCTAAATTAACCAAACCCGTCTGGCCCAGTTATCTACTCCCAATGTCGTAGATCTGGGCCAGACCAGATCCAATACAAATAAAAAGGGGGGATTTACTCCGGAAAAAACACACTGGTTTTTCAATGTATAATACGTGCTAATAATGAATAAACATCATAAAAAACACTTACGTGTTTGTTCCTTGTATCAAACTTTGTATTTATATTAGGTTTCCATCGCTGGATGACGGCTAATAAATAAGAACGAAACGATTAAACGCAGCAAAAAGAAAAATTCTTTTGCAATCTGTTCGTGATCTCGTAGGATATCGAGAAGTCTCTGAAAAATCGTAATATTTGGAATGTATTGATTCCCGGGAAATGTATTTTCGTTCCATGAAAGTTAAAAAATTATCGCGTCACACTTATATTACGTCACATCACGTGACTTTATTCGGTGCGGAGAGCTGACGAAAATATTGACGAAATGTTGTGCCCATTTCAACATCAATATAACAAACAAAACACCACATTTACGTGTAAGTAATATACTCTTTATTTCAAATAAATACTTGGGTTTACATGGAGCCCGATGTTTTGGTTGGATGGCTAATAGGGAATGAATAATAAGTGATGATTCAGCGACATGTTTTTTCCTGAGTAAATCCCGCCTTTTTAGCATGGGACGTCGTCTGGCCCAGATCTACGACGTCAGGAGTAGATAACTGGGCCAGACGGGTTTGGTTAGACCTAGGATCTAAGCTTAAATAGACAGTCTAATTTAGAAAATACAAAATTTCTTACCTCACTTTCAACTTGATTCACATTGGAGTTCTGGCTTCGAACATGACAAGAACACGTAGGTATCTTCCCCTGACCAAGCTTTAACAAGGTGGTCTTACAAGATCTCAATTGGTGAGCCATAGTTTGTTAATACACGGAATAGAAGAAATGGAATATTCGTTTCTAGAAAAGCATGGTGGTGACCTTGACTTTCTAATCAAATCTCGTACAGTAAGTCTCGTCAGCCACGTTGAGTCTCGCGAGACTCTAAAAATGACAACATGAAGTTTACAAAAAGTTTACAAATTTCCACAGACCTCTAATATTCTCCGCTTGTGTGGGTCTGAACCACACGATGGATCGTTTAATACTAGATTGGATTATGCAGTACTTTATTATCGTGTTTTTCTTATTGGGTTCGCCCGCTGAAGCCATGAGTAAGCTGGAGAAAAGAGAACTCAAGTAAGTCTTACAAATTTTTTCTCAATTTATTTATATTTTCTGATTATTTTTACGATTTTTTACTTGTTTATTCCTTCACAAGTTCTGAATCTAAATTAACCTTGATAATGCTTGTAGCAAGAGCAATTTGGAGGATTCCATCAAATGATACATTTTTGAGGCCAGATGTTCTCTCGGCATCTTATTTAGTGCCAATCCCGACATTCTGGTCTGATGATGGTTAATAGAGGATTTCCGTCCAACTTATTATTTCGGCACAAGCCATACACTTGGTTCATACTTCTATCGATTCTAACCATCACCCGAAGTGTTCTCTCAAAGTCATAAAAGGTTGTTGCTCTCTCAAATGGCAGAGGTAGACTTGAGGTCACACATTCACTACACTCTAATTGCTCACATGTCAGTGTCATATACATCAGTCAGCACAACACACTTTTCAATTAATCTCATTGAAGAGTTTGAAGAGCTTATCGCTACCTAATAGACAATCAACTTATTTTAATCTCATACACACAGTCACTCTGTTTCGAACAGTTCTGAAATTTTTCCATTCAGAACCGTTCCGACTTTTTTTGTTCCGTGACATATCTACTAAGATCATGTTGATACATGAACTGTATCTCTTTTGAGACTCATTTGTAATAGTACTCGGCTTAATAAGCAATGGGTTTTCAAACTAAATAGAGTGTTCCGACTGTAAGTTCAAACCAATCAGATTATTTGATATTTTGTGCATATGAATTATTCACTCCTGTGCTCTTACCATAAAAACCAAGCCACAATAACCAAATCCAGAGATTGTCCCAACTTCATTTTCTTGAAATGTGAACTCAAACTCGTGCGAAATGCATTATGCTTTTGTTGGAGCTATTCATTTTGGGAAATATAATTTGCAAGCCATATTTTTCTGCCGTTTTGGATATTAAATGTTCAAATTTAAGAAAGTATTGCTATATACACAACTCCTCAATTATTATTTCGCAGTTCTTCAATTGGGAGTCTCATCTTTACAGCTTGAATATACTGTGGCAAGTTTTGATAGTTCAATACACATCATCCATGAATATAATTTATAAATTTTAAACTTCAAAGAGGAAAGTGAATAAAGTGATTAAACTGTGACATGTATGAACTTATGAATTTATATTTTGGTTCTAGGGAAATGGTGCTAGAAATGTTTGACCATGGATATAACAGTTATATGGTAAGTACTAATCACTTTTTATTTACTTGGTAGAAATTATATGCCCCTGAGGTATTGACCGATATGAGAACCAAATTCATAAACTGGTATTTGAGTTATTAAGATTAAATTTTCCAGTATGGTAGCCATTTTGAAGTTGATCAGCTATCTTGAAAGTTTCTCTTGAGCAAGGTCCTTATTAGAGATGGGTCGGGTCGGGTTGGTTAACTGCCGTTATTTGCCCCATGGTTGACCTATCATATCACCCTGACCCGAGTCATGAATGGGTCAGATTAGAACTGGGGAAATAGTATTTTCATTTTGCGAGTGTAAATTATTAAAGTCCAAGGCCGATTTTCCTATTAGTCCTGTATGTTCACTGTTCAGTAGTCCATCTCCGGGGTCTCCCCCATCTTCCATATACGGTGTAATATTTGAAATATTTTCCCCATTGTAAATTCCTTGTTTTACAACTTTTCCACATCCGTTGCTAAGTTAAAAGTAAAAGAACAAGTTATATTGCTGTCAATTTATGAGACCTACTATTTTTGGCTCACACAGTGAGCCTGTGGGATTGACCAGGCGTCCGTCCGTCAACATTGGCCGCACAAATTAAAACTGCTATTCGGATTAAGTCATATCCACACTCATTTTATGCAGATCCATAATGCCTATTTGACCTATCATCGCCATCTCCCAAGTTCGCCCGGTTTCCGAGAAATTGCTGATTTTGACGTCAAAAAGTCAAATTTTCTGTAGATACTAGACACTTTGTTAAAGTAGAACTTTCAAATAACTTGTAGTAGTTGCTGTATATGCAACTTATGTTCTCTGAAGATTTCAAAGCTCTTGAAATTACAGTTTTTGGTGTTTACTCTATAAAATTTTACAAAAAGTAGGACTGTCATTTTCAGGGAACTTTCTCATGTTTAAAGTCAATCATCATTGGCTGCACAAAACACTGTGTGAGCACAGGACCGTGGGTCCTTTATTTTTAAGTCCTGTGACCTGATCCGACAGGCCGAGGCCCAGCCGACCCAACTCTAGGTCTTATGTCCCTAAGAGTTATTAAGATTACATTTTTACCCAAAACTGCACACATTTTGAAAAGAATTGGAATTCTTTCTTGAGCAAGCTCCTGTATCTCTGAGGCATCAGCATGTAAAATTGAAATAAAATCAGTCAACCAGTATTTTTAGCTTTCAAAGATTACTTTTTTTATGAAAAATGGTGGCTATTTTGAATTGAGCAGCCATATTGAAAAATTTTAGAGCCCATGATTACATTCTGTTCAAATAATTCAATATATGTTTTTTCAGCTACATGCCTATCATGATGAATTGTAATTTGTGTATTTTCAGCAACATGCTTATCCTGCTGATGAACTGATGCCTCTTAAATGTATGGGGCGTGTGAGGGGCAAACATCGTTCAAGGGGTGACATAGATGATGCGCTTGGAAAGTGAGTGTACATATTCTTGGAACTCCCCAGAGTAGCAAATCCCACTGAATAAAACATCTGAACAAAAACTGACAACTGGTATTTGCTTAATAAAAATTATATTCTAATTTTCTGAAAAAGTAGCAGCCATACTGATAATTCGTTCTTGAACAGAGGTCCTATCCCCATAAGACAGCCTTAAAAATTTGATAACCAAGTGTTAAGTTACAAACATTTTTTCAGTTTTCATTAAAGATAGTGGTCATTTTGAATCCAGAAGCCATCTTGAAAATATTACATGTCCAGAGTATGGTCCTGAGGCAGCAGCATGCAACAGCATATTATTTAGGGGTCCTATGGTACGCTTCTTTGAATATTGTTACAAGCAACAATATTTACCTCACAATAAGATACAAACGATAAGAGCAGTATAAATGCAGTAAATTAAGTTCATGAAAATTTTCACAAAAATATGAGTCAGCATATCAAGACCATTCTGTCTTTTGATATTGATCTAATATTAACACTAATTTAATACTTTTCTTTTATTTCAAGTCCCATTATTAAATATTGAATTGATACTGTGATGAGGCGCAGACACACGCAAGAATAAATTACAATTAATTTTCCATATTCAAGTTGAATATCGATACACTCACCATCAGCATACATGTCATTCGGGAACTCTTTCATAAGATGTATGCATTTTTGCTTCATGTCTGGGTCCATTCACTTTTTCGGTGTCATATCGATCCATTTTCAGATTTCAAATTTCTTATTTCTAGTAAGTAGGTCATGCTCTTTTGATCGGAATCAAGAAAGCATCTACGAGCATGTTTATACAGTAAAACCTGTCTTAGTGAACACCTCTCTCTAGTGAACACCTGTCCCTAGTGGACACCCTTCCTACGCACATAGTCCACTGACTTCTGTATAAATTACCCTCTCTCTAGTGAACACCTTCCTACAGTGAACGTTTTTTCTTGGCAAAAAAATGTTCACTATACACAAGTTTTACTGTAGTTTAAACTCAGGTTGGTGGACAATCAAGGGGGTTTTAACTCCTCATAAGGGAGGGAGAGAAATGAGTGACATATTCTGAATCAATGTCTAGACATTAACATTCTAAAACAGATCTCACATTGAGAATTGCAATATGCAGATCAATAAAACTGATTGTATGAATATTTTTTATTTCTATCATTTTGATTGATTTAATAAACACCAAGAATTACAGATCAGTCTGGGTTGAATTTTAAAACAATTGTGATGATTTATAAATATAGGGACGATATGCCTCTTCTCCTATTTTGCTATTTGCTGCAAAAATGCACATTATTCTTAATGCTTTGTAAAATATTGATTTGAATTTTATTTTCTAATAAAAGTCTTTATTTTTATTTATGTTTGTCGTAACAGGGGTTAATATTATCCTATTATGACTTGTTTCCTTGTAATAATATCTCTGGTGCATGATGAAGTTATCATCCCTTTACCAATCAATGTATTTTACATGATCAGGAAATTAGTCACCTTTTGAGACTTGTTTCATTTTAAAGGGGCAATATGAAAACAAATACTGGTTCTAATTTCTTGCATTTATTTTGAATATCATATTACATTTGAAAGTAAAACATGTTTTGCTATTATTCTACTTAAATTCTCACTAACAATCATGGCAGCAGCCCCCACAAAATACTAAATACCTGTATATCGTTCCTTTGAACTCCACTGATTCTTGAATTGAGGTGAACTTGTCCAAAGGCCTTTCAACACCAAATGCCTAGAGTGGACCTTGAGATGACCTTGGCTCATAAACATTGACTTTGACCTCAGGTTACCAAATTATGAGTTGCCAAAGGTCGCAGTATTCTTCAAGTGCCATAAATACCAAATACTTAGATATCGAACTTGGACCTTGATCTGTAAACATTTAGGTTGATCCCAGGTCACTTAATCATGGGTCAACAAAAGTCACAGAAGCCCAAAGGGGCTTAAAACGCCAAATACCTAGATATTGACCTCTGAACTTAGAATGACCTTGACTTCAGGTCACATAATCATGGGTCACAGCAGCCCCAAGGTCCTTAATACACCAAATACTCATTTGACCTTGAGATGACTTTGACCCATAAACATGACCTTGGCCTCATGTCACCTAATCCTGTGTCGCCAATGGTCACAGCAGTCCCTTGGGTCCTTCAAATACCATATACCTTGATATTGACATTTGACCTTGGAATGACCTAGACCCGTAAAGTTGACCTTTGCCTCAGGTCACCTAATCATGGGTCATCAGGTCTTAAAAGCCAAATACCTAGATATTTGACCTTGGAATGACCTTGACCCCTGACCTTCATAGAATGCCCATTGGCCAACTTAATATGTTGATCAAGTATGAGGACCCAAAACGGTTGAGGGGGAGATGTCTGGACAGGTAGTTATATAGACAGAGAGAAAAACAGACAGACTACCGTGCTTTATAGTAAGAAGATTTGATAGCACGCAAAAATTCATTCTAATTTATATTTTCATCTGAAAACAAGAAAAACATGTATAATAAAACTTATGTAAAAACATTTGGTACTAAAAATGTATTTGAGATCTTCCACATCCAGAGGCTCATTTAACATTAAATCAATGGGTAATGGGAATCTGGAATGTGTTCCACTTATAATAGTATTCTCCTGAGAGAGGTGTTCCATTTTAAAGGTTTACCTGTATGTTTATAGAATTGTCAGTTTGACCTGCCATAAACCTTACTCACTACTATATTATTTATTACAATTTTTATTAATAGATTCTCATGAATTTGATATGACAAAGGAAGTGAAACTGAGCGGCACTACTTGCATAAATCTGCAGATCTACTTTTAATTAATGTGCCACTTCTAACATTTTAGCTGTTTTGAGCAATATAATGTCTCTTGATCTATGTTACTTTGGGATTTTACTTAAACACTACTGCAATGAAATGTACGCTTCATATATTTTCATTTGCCATCTAGATTGCTTATTTTTGTATGTGTTTCAAAACTTCTGATTTTGTAGACTCGAGTTCTAATTCCGAACCATTCTGAACTAGTTCAGGCATAGCCCTAATTGAACTAGTTCAGACATAGCCCTAATTGAACTAGTTCAGGCATAGCCCTAATTGAACTAGTTCAGACATAGCCCTAATTGAACTAGTTCAGACATAGCCCTAATTGAACTAGTTCAGGCATAGCCCTAATTGAAGTTGGAGAATGAAGTTCAAATTGTAGTTTGCAAAATCTGGAACTATTTCATGAGTTCCTCTCATCCCCACTCTGCTAGAATGCCTACCCTTAGTAAAAAGTGTCCTGATATTCAAATCGAGATAAAGTAAAAAATAAAATGAATAATCAAAGAATGAAGTAAATAGATACCTTAGATTAAATAGAAAATATGTTAACCTAATGATGTATTCTTTCATATGTTTTGATATATATTTGCTTCTTTCAGTTTTTCCTTGACCCTTGTGGATACACTAGATAGCTTAGTGGTAAGTACCTTTCGTGACACCTAGGATTTGTACTGTTTATGTACTTTATGAGATATACATTTTACCATTTCTCTGTCACTTTTTATAATAATCTATTTTTAAACAGACTTTGAATAACTTTTTGTAGCATATTTAGGTCAAAATGACAAGATGTTTGCAATAGTAATTTGATCAAGGATCAGGATTTACTAGAAAAGTGAATGTAACGTTGATGATATACGTTGTATAACTTTCCTGAAATGTGAATGTTCTATTAATGATGGTTAAAGCATGAATGGTGAAAGATGTGAACATTTATTTCTACCTGGTGATGTAATTATAAGACAATACACTCTTTCCATTTGTCTCTCAACTCCTGGTTAAGACCTTTCAATATATATTATTTTTGCAGGTCCTAGGGAAGATAGAAGAGTTTGAAAAAGCAGTTCGTATGATAATCCGTGATGTCACATTTGATACAGACATCGTCGTCTCTGTATTTGAGACAAATATCAGAATGATTGGGTAAGTTTGCATCATTTAGTCTTTTGGAACATGTCGGGTTTTATTGAGATATTATTGCTTCTGTTGAGTTTTTCAAATGCCATTTGAAGACATTTGAAGTCAAAAAATGATTTCTTAGTTTCACAAAAAATGTGAAATAGGACTGCATTATTCTGATGACATCAGAATAGGAATTAAAAATATTCTGAAAATATGAAATACAATTTATATGTCTGGAAAATCATGTTTCAATACGTATATTGATATTTGATATTCAAAACAAAGCCAGATGTTTGCTTCCAAACTTAATTGTATATTGATATTTGATATTCAAAACAAAGCCAGATGTTTGCTTCCAAACTTAATTGTCATGTTTTAAAATGCAAAATAACTCACAAATAATTAAGTTTGAAGGAAACATGTAATACAAACTCTTGATTGAACAGAAATTTACAAACTTTGTTCAACTTGGAGAATTTGCGTGGAATCGCAACTTAAAGTGTTGGTCTGTTTTCATTTAAAAGAAATTAATTGATTAATCTTATAAAGCTATATCAGTTATTTGAGTCAACAGCTGTGAATGTTATTTTTATTTTTTTTTATTAATTTATTGCAATCACTTTTAGATCAGTGGCACATAGTTAAACTAGTGCAGCAGTTAAAACATACAATACATGTGTACAAGTACAATTCTAAAGCAGAGCTAAAAACATTTGCATAATAAGACATAAAAACAAAACTAAAACATTTGCAATACATTAACTTGTTGGTGCTACATATATGTTTTTGATAAAATACTTTGAGCATGCATCAAAAATATAACCTTGTTCTTGACCCAAGATAGCATAGGCCGCATCCCCAAGCACCCATTCTAAACCATTATTGGGAATACATGTCTTAAAATAATTATAAATGGAAGTCTATTCTCAATGCTATTATAAAATATAAACCTTTCCTCTTTAAACTTTGGGCAGGTAAAAAATCTATGTTCAGGAGTTTCTTTACAGCTCATATTACAAATGCTACCTCTGTTTTCAGATACAGATGATTGTTTTGAAAATTGGCATTACAGTCTCAGTTTTTAAAGAAACCTTCACCCAATTTAAAATACCATGTGGCCTTTACCTAATTTAAAAATACAGCACCCAATCGAAAATACCTTTTACCCTATTACAAAACCCCTCACCCAGTTGAAAATACTCATTACTCAAGTTAGCCAGTTGAAAACACTCCTTGATATAGAGTCAAGAGCACTCTTATGCCAGCATCTGTTGAAGCATATTAAGAATGTTGCTATTGTTTTGTATTCTTTAACAAAATCATGTTAGTATTGATATCAGGAAGAAGCTTGTATTTGTTTCAGGGGTCTTCTAGGAGGTCATGTTTTAGCTGACCTACTTAAACAAAGTGGTGACGCCATGTTGTGGTACGACGATGAATTGCTCAATCTTGCCAAAGATCTTGGAAACAGGCTACTTCCTGCATTCAACACTTCAACAGGCATTCCCTTTCCTCGGGTAAATTTATATCTTTCATTATGCATTTTTGCATTTAGTATCGTTCTTAGCCAGTTTTTGCCAAAAATGAATTCCAGGGGTTCAAATTTGACAATTTTGACCTCAAATCACTTAAAAAGTGCCATAATTGATGAAAAACTGTATGGTCTTGATAGAATTTCTGGCCCTAGCAATGGGCCTGTAATTGTTATTTCAAATTGTAAGCAATTACTTTTAGTGACAACATCAAGAAAACATAAAATATGTTCTATTGCTGCATTGTACTATATTTTATGGTGTTATACTTGTATGCTATATAGGTCAACTTGCGTTTTGGTGTGAATAAAGCCACATCGCGCACAGGGCATGAGAAGGACACGTGTACTGCATGCGCTGGTACAATGATTCTAGAATTTGCAGCCCTCAGTCGTCTTACTGGTGATCCAATTTATGAGGTACTTTGGACAAAAGTATATGAGCCTGGCCAAAGGAAAACCGGTCTTATCTCAAAAATTAGAATTGTTCTACGGAGCCAAAATTGTGCCCAAGATTAAGAAGGAAATGTGCTAAATTCAAATCGGACATTTTGGTCTATATATGCAAGGAAAACTTGAAACCAGTTTGTGACATCTTATCTTTTAACAAAATGCCCTCTGTTATATCGGAAAGGCACATTTATATAAAGTTAATTAGAGACTCTTGTAATTCAAATATTAGTGAATGTGAAAAAAGCAATTTTTGAAAATGTTATACAAGTATTACATTGTGTCCAAGAGGACACTTCTCCAGACAGATATTTCCATTTATAGGTTAACAATGTCATGCAAAACTTTTTTTTACGTTTGTAGGAAAAGGCAAGAAAGGCCATGAGTTTCTTGTGGCAGCAACGTAACGTAGCTTCGGACCTGGTGGGGACTGTCATCAACATCCACAATGGAGACTGGGTACGACGCGGTAAGTATAAGTTCTCCTTATTTTATAACGTAGGTAACATGTACATCTTATGGTATGTCAATGGTCATGTCAGTTTATCCACATTCATTAACGATCATTTATGGATAGTATCCAATTACCAACAGTTGTAGAACAAAGTCAATGTCATGTGATAATTAAGGTGATCGATAAATATTATTCAAAAGGAGGGGGTCAATACTGGAACAGACAATATCCTACCAATATCCTCGAATGCAATACTTCAGTAATCCAATATTAGCATATACACCCCCCCCCCCCCCATTTTAGATGTGGTTGTAGGTGTTGGAACAGACAATATCCTACCAATATCCTTGAATGCAATACTTCAGTCATCCAATATTAGCATATACACCCCCATTATAGATGTTGGTGTAGGTGCTTGATTTACAGACATAATCCCTTGCTATGTCATCAAATGCAATACTTCTGTAATCCAATATTAACATGTACACCCCCATTATAGATGTTGGTGTAGGTGCTTGATTTACAGACATAATCCCTTGCTATGTCATCAAATGTAATACTTCTGTAATCCAATATTAACATGTACACCCCCATTATAGATGTTGGTGTAGGTGCTTGATTTACAGACATAATCCCTTGCTATGTCATCAAATGTAATACTTCTGTAATCCAATATTAACATGTACACCCCCCATTATAGATGCGGGTGTAGGTGCTGGAACAGACTCTTATTATGAATACTTGCTCAAAGCATACATCCTCCTAGGTGATGAGACATACTTGGACAGATTTAACAAGGTAGGTTTCATAAAGTGGACTAAAATATCTTTATGTGTCGTAATAGATGGCACTACTGCTATGTATTGGAAATGTTTTGTACACCCCCAAAATGCAATCTGATTTTCGACACCGTTTTAGTCCCAAATTTCGGTGCCGTTTCGGCACCAAATGGACTGACTAGTCCGGTGGCAAATTTTGGTGTCGAAAGGTTTCGGTGCCGGAACAGTGTCGAAACGGTACCGGAACAGGGCCGAATTTTTTCGATGCCGAAACGGAAACGGCGCCGAATTATATTGGCTGTGTATTTATAGCTCAAAGGCTGATATCTATTTTTCTAGTTTTAGGCCTATTTCGTGGATACACTTCTAACTCATTGAAATGCAATCTTATGTGATCATCTAGCTTACTTCCTCAATGTTAGAATACTTGGACATAGCCATGATCCATAAATGGGTGAGACAAATATGGTTGAGGCAAAAGATAATGTAGAGGATGATTTGTCACAACTTATGGACATATTTTTATGTTTAAACTCCTTGATCTATGTTATTTTTTCAATGTTTTTCCAATCAAATTATATGTACAAACAAATGAACAGTTTTGAAACAAGTTAACTGATAATTTACCACTAATGTATGGAAATGCTAGATGAACCCTGAATCACATTTATTCATTGATTTTATAAAACATGGACTACCATTGAAAAAACAATGAATGGATCATGCATTTTGAATGAATAAAGATAAACATTATAATTGAACTAAGAAGAATGTTATTAATAAAATGTTTACAAGTCAATAATAATGCAAGCAAAAGCAGTTTCTAACAGTCTTACCACTATAATATATAAATTTTGGAGAATAAAAATTAAGATTTGTTCAGTAAACAAATTGATATTTTTTCATCAAGAATAAATATTTTAACCACAGTTGGTTAACATGTTTAAGCAGAAAACTGTGCTCAGGTCTAATGCATATTCACCTTACTTTGAAATCTGCTTAAGCCTCACAAAATGCCCAATGGAAAATCCTGTTACAGTCTGTGGTATACCATTTAAAAGCCACATTAGGGTATGCACTAGTGTCCAACATCATCTTAACACAAGATAGTTCACCTATTGCGGTCATATGAGATGTTCCAGCAAATCTGTTGTAGCCTATGGGCTCCCTATTTGAGACCCATTCTATAGCTCTGTCATCTGCCAGTCTTTTTGCCCCAAGCCACCCTTCAGTATAGGGGTTGAACTTTCCTAATAAAATATGAAATGACTGAAAATAGTATAAAATGACCAATTTCCCTTTTTTATATCTCTACAATATATGATATTGACATTGATGCTATTAATTAATTATATAGTACTATTTAATTATACACATTTTATAAATAATTTGGGTATACTATCAAAATGTCTTAAGTTTTAGAGCTACCATTTTAATAAGAAATTTTGCAGCTGATACATATATGTCACTCTTGGGCATTTGAGATGTTTTATCACCTTATGATGTCCCCACCACATAGTGTGGAGCCATATTGTCGGCCTAGGCGCATCTGTCCGTCCGTCCGTATGTCCATCCGTACGTCTGGGAGTTTTCTCCAAAACCGCTAAAGATATCACCTCCAAATTTTCAGGGATAACTTATGAGTGCATACAGATGTGGATGAAAAAATTAAACTCAAAACCTACTTCCTGTCGGCCATTTTGAACTCAAATGCTAAAATCCTTGTCTGCAAACTTTAAGAAAAACGGCTTCACAGTTGCTTTTAAAACTTTAACATCTTGTTCAGCTCACTTCATTCTAGATCTGATTAGGTTTTGGACAGTAGTTATATGTGATAATTTTGTAAAAAGAAATCAGCAAAAACTTATAATCACTTTTTTATTGTCAGCCATTTTGGATATTTGCATCCTAAAATCTTGTCTGCGCGTTTTCAGGTGAACCGTTTGGTGGATCAATTTCAAATTTTCAGGGATGATTATTAGTTTAAAAATTTAGATCTGATCAGTTTTTTGGCATTCTAGGTAAATGCAAAGGCAGCCATTTTGGATTTTCCGTCCTAAAATCTTGTCTGTAAAGTCTTGTCTACACATTTTCAGGTGAACCGTTTGGTAGATCAATTTCAAATTTTCAGGCATGATCCTTAGTATGAAAATTTAGAAGTGATTAGTTTTTTGGCATTCTGGATAAATGTCAAGGCAGCCATTTTGGATTTTTCGTCTTAAAAATCTTGTCTGTAAAGTCTTGTCTACACGTTTATATGGTGAACCGTTTGGTAGATTAATTTCAAATTTTCAGGGATGATTCTTAGTATGAAAATCTACATCTGATTAGTTTTTTTGCATTCTGCTTAAATGTCAAGGCAGCCATTTTGGATTTTCTGTCCTAAAATCTTGTCTGTAAAGTCTTGTCTACGCGTTTTCAGGGGAACTGTTCGGCAGATCAATTTCATATTTTCAAAGATGATTCTTAGTATGAAAATCTAGAAACAGATTAGTTTTTTGACATTTTGGGTAAATGTCAATGCAGCCATTTTAGATTTTCCATCCTAAAATCTTGTCTGTAAAGTCTTGTTTACATGATTTCTGGATTTTCCGTCCTCAAATTGTTTTGATAAAGTCTTGTCTACTCATTTTCAGGATAACCATTTGACGGGATCACCCATTGGTGGGGACATTTTGTACACATTTGTGTTCTTGTTTCAAATTTGTGTTGAGCAAAGGTAGTGAATCTCTTAGTGGAATTACACCTATTTCATGGCTAAAGGCGTTTTCAAGGCGTTTTGGGTAACGTAGGCTAGAAAACCGCAATTCTGATTACACCAGAATTTTAAAAGCGCCTTGAAGACAACTTTTCGTGATTACACTTGATTTTTCTAAAGCGCTTTTAGACTGATTTAAGACAAAAATTTGCCATCAACCATCGCATTTGCATCAAAATCTGCTATTTAGATATACACTTTCAACCGTAGCGCCATCTCTGGAGATTCAAAATGATCCGATACTGTATGTTCCTTTTTTTCTTAAATCGTATTCAATCTACCTCTGGCGTTAACAAATATGTGCTAAAGAAAGCATGGAAAACAATGCACAAGCGCGCAAAGAGAGAAGCTCGGTCGTTAGGAGAGATCCAAGAGAGATCCAGTAAAATGAAGATGGTACTTTTGTTGGGGCTGTTTGGCATCCTTGGTAATATGGGACAGGAACGAACGATGTGGACAAGACAAAGATCTCGTCATTTTTTTGACTTTATTGTAGAGAGGTAATTTCAACTATTCAATCATCCCCTCCCCTCGCCTTCCCCAATCTACAATAGTACCGGAATTTCTCGTATATAAGCCCTGGGCGTATAACTGAAAGAAGGGGTAATTCCGTCTGTTATTTTATCATTTTTTATACGCCCATGGGCGTATAAATATAAGACTTTAGATTTTTGGCCCAGTGAGCGTCAAAGTGATCGAGAAGAGCTATTATCATAATACTATGGTGCTCAAAATATTAGCTACTTTCTTCTGTTCGGGATGCTGAATCATCAATATCCGTCGTCAATAGTATTATATTATTTATTTAATTTACGGTTATTCTATTTACAAATCATCATGGCCTGGATCTTTTTGTCAGCCCAAATCGAAAGCATACGCTCAGTATTGACGTGGTCCCAATAAATTCTACTTTGTTTCGACATTTTGGTGATTTGATTGAGTTTTGCACAATATTTGAATTTTGTTTTTTGAAGTTTCCTCCACACCGGAAATCAATAACATGCTTGATGCTCATGCGCAAATATAGTTTTCGTTCAGTGTAAAATCGAGTTAAAGCGCCTTGAAAACCAATCGGTATTACACCTACACGTTAAACCGCCTTTGGGTGTGAAAGCGGTTTTTAATGACTAGGGGTCTGGGAGGATTACAAAAGCGCTTTTCTAAATCCGCGATCGTGATTACACCTGACTCTAAAGGCGGGTCGAAACCCGATAGGATTTTAAAAAGCGCTTTTACATCGTAGGTGTAATTCCACCTTCTGTCACTGTGTTGGATTTTAGCAACTAAATGATCATAAAGTTTCATGTGTAGCTAGAAACTTCTTGTATTGTTTTTTTTCTGATTAGGTCTCAGAAATGGCCACCTGTTTTTGAAACTTTGAATTTTTCATAATATTGCTATCCTGAAGATATTTTTACTTCAAGTGTAGATAACAATTACATAAAATCCAAAATGGCAACATAATGTGAAAATTCTTTTTCAGTGGTCTTTTAATATCCTGTAATTTTGACAATGTTGTTGAAGATAGTTGAATAGATCAATATGTCACTTGTTTTAAAGCATAATTTGAATTACCCACTCTTTGCACACTCTGAATTGTGTCACTGTTACAAATGTGTATTTTCTTATACAGTCAAATAGAGCATTTCTATAAGTGGAACATCTCAGAGTTCCATCACCTTTTTAATCATAAGACTTAATATTTAAAGTGAACTTCTAAAATACTAGATATAGTATATTAAATAAAATGAATCATACCTGCATTGGCCAATATCCATGTGTTGAGTGCATCATATTCTTCTTGTGACTCAATCTGTACTAGATGTACCCCATCACCCAATGTTTGGCAGTAGAAGTTGGCCTGTTCCCAGGTCATATCACTCTCAAGGAATGCATAGCAAGACCCAAGGAATATTTGCTGATGGAACCAATCTACAGGACATTCTGAAAAATGACCTTTAATGGTACTCATTTCTGAGATGTTGCATCAGTAAAACACTCATTTTCAATGTCGATGACATAAGATGCTAGAAAAAATAACAATTTAAAGCGTCAATGACACTTATTGCCCTTATCATATGATAGGGACTACGTAGACTTAATTAATGTGCATTATCTAATGTACATATGTAAAAGTTTGGGACATTATAATACATGTACAGAAAGTAAAAAAGGATCTCCTACATTGTGATAATCATCACAGTACTAAAATTAGGTTCTTTTTATTTCAAATATCAAGGTAATTTGCCAAACATAGAGTTTCCAGAATGTCAGTGAAAAGTTGTACACATTTTTATGGATGGGCCACCCTGTACTTTGTTATACTTTTCTATTTGCTCACCTCTGTAGTATAGAGTATAGTGTACATCAACATCAGGTGCCACATTGTTGCTTCCTCCCACCAGATCACAGATTCTTTGACCAGTTGGGCTCTTATTCTCCACGTTAAAGAACTTGCATAGCGAGTCATCTGTGCATTGAACAGCGCACTGGGTAACTGATGCCACGCGTACAGCTCTCAGGATGTTTTGCCGTCTAACATGACCTTTTAGTGATTTGTATGTCTTTGTGTTGTATTGCGATTGCCCATATGTAGTGAGCTTTTGGAGCTGAATCATGAGTGTGATAATACACAAAATAGTTAACAATTTCATCTTCATATTAGCACAATTTAGTATTTTACTTTACCTTTATGAAGACCTTTCAAAGCCCCATTAGATTTTTAATTTTCCTCAACAACAAAGTAATATGAGAGATGTGTGCATCCAGTGTTTGCCTTCTTTGAAGTTAGGTTATAAGTTTAGTTTGCTCTCATATCTTAAAGAAATTTCCTTAGAAAAACATTTTCCTTTATTGACTTCTGTGCAAATTGTCTTCTGGAGCATTTATTCAAAGATCATCCTCTCAATTCAACACTGGGTTTAAATCAATCGTAGCCCTTTGAGAAAAGAAAAAGAAGTCCACTTTGTAATTGATGTTGCTGCCAAATGTTGCTGCTGTTTTAACAAATCAAACTTAGTTTGATCTTTATCCTTGTTATATATGTTGACTAATGTTATCTTCCACCAATTTGAATTCTTTTCAATTGCATAAGATCAGTATAAAGCTTTGAACGATATCTCTCTTTTAAATATAATGTTATTTCACCGGTAATTGTCATAATGGTTAAAAATATTTTTTATAAAATCTATAGATTTTCGGAATGACATACTTAAGAAATGTACACAATGAAATGAATGGCTCAAGTATGGTGAGTGCTTAAAACCTTATAAAATATTTCATATTTTTCGCAATGGTTGTGAAAGACTATAGTCTACTATAAGAAGTGTTGCATCAAGAGCTTTTGTTCTACACAATGGGTATGGAGATAGATTATGGGGGAGGGTGCAGAGGCTAAAAACACAAATTGTAAGGATTTGAGTTTATCTCATCATTCATAAAAATGAGACCAAACAATATGGCATTCTCTTTGCATTGAAAAGGATGATGGTATATGTATTTTTAGGATTACGTTACAGTGAGTAGAATGTGTGAGGCTTCAGAGGAATCCTGAATTATGTCTACAATTCAATTGTTTTAATCAAGTAGATAAATGCAAAATGTTTTTACAAGTAATTAGGATTACTATCTATTATTTGCTGAAACTCTTCATATTTCAGCCGCATGTATTGATTTTCAATTTTGTTCTTCCATATTTTGTACACTGTATTATGACAATTTGGCTAGTCGAGTGATTTTCTTCAAATTTTATATGTTAAAAGCATATTATAGAAACCATTTTGAAAAGTGGTAGCCATTTTTATGTGTTACATTTTGTGTGTTTTTTGCTATAAATCAAAATTTTTATGTGTTTTTTTTTACGGTTTTGCTATAACTGGAAAAGTAGTGGAGCAAATTTGTTGAAATTATGTGTGAATACTTAAAAGCATATTATACTTTCTTATGACAGTTTGACTAGTAAGCATCCATTTTTATGTGTTATTTTTCCATATTTGTGAAAACTGTTGATATTTTATATCTGAATACTTATGCTGTCTAATGACGATTTGGCTAGTAGGCAGCCATTAAAGAATGGCGGCTATCATATTTAAAATTTTCAAGGATGGTGATTTTTGGGCATTCTGTATAAGTTAAAAGATGGCCATTTTAACATTTTAGGTTACTATTCAAACTTGACTGTACATTCAAGGCAAACCATTAGAGGGATTGATTTCATATTCTGTAATTTTGTTTTTTTCCAGCATTATACCTCTATCATGCGATACATTAACCAGGGTCCTATGCTCGTTGACGTACATATGCATCGTCCTACCTCTAACTCTAAGAACTTCATGGATTCTCTCTTAGCCTTTTGGCCAGGATTACAGGTACATAAAAACAAATCATTATGTAGTTTGTCACTGACTTGAGCAGTGCAGTTATTAACCTTAAGTTGTTGTCTACTGTCCAAATAAATAAATAAATAAATCTATTATGTATTTCAGGTTCTAAAGGGCGACATCAAGCCTGCTATAGAGATACATGAAATGTTGTACCAAGTTATGCAGAGGCACAACTTTTTACCTGAGGTAATTAAAAAAATATAGTCTGTTGCAGGGGTTCACTTTTTTGGACCACCCTGTATGATACAGGGTGGTCCAAAAAAGTGAACCCCTGCAACAGACTATATTTTCCCTAATACTTGCATGAATAGACTAATATTATCACATGCTGTAGAGAAAGGTCTAAAATTTTGGTTGATGCCATAATTTAAACTCAGTCCTAAATTTAGAAGAAATTACAAGAGTTTAGCAAACATGCCTGAAAATTAGATATTGTGCAAAATTTTACCAATTTGATTCACAGAAATTGTTGAAACACATTAGATGATCTTAAACAGCTTTCAGTTAGAGATACAATAAAACCCTACCATATGACAAAAGGGACACTATTTAAGCAGAAAACACATTTCACACTTTCATTGATCATTTTGAAGCAGTTTTAACCATTCAACAGTTCAGGGGTATGTTACCTACACCAACAGTTAGAGGGGGGCCTCTTATGGAAGGAAGTTGCCCCCTGTGACCAGAAATCTGAGAAGCCCTTCATCAAATATCTTTAAAAAATCAAAAGAAAATCCAATATTCAATGTTTTGAGCCATATTTCATTAGAATCGCTCCATGATTTATGAAGATATTGACATTTCAAGATCATATAGGGGTATGTTCACAATTTCACTGGAAAATGTTATCGTCTATGGAAGCTTAGAACATTTCTTTGGATCACAAGAACTTTGCAACTAACAAAGGTAGGATGCTAGTTTTAAGCCATAATGTGTGAGATTCAAGATTGAATAAAGTGAGAAAATATTAGTTCTTTTAATTAAGACTGCAGCTTAAAAAATGTCGAAGGGCTGAAGAATTGTGGATATTTAAAATCACATTTTATCCATTTTCAGTAATATCTGGTTATAGGGGCTTATATTTTCTGCAAATTTCAAGACTAAGAAAAATGTATGGTACCAACATAAATTTTAGACCTTCCTCTACAACATGTGAAAATATAAAAGAATTCCTGCAAGTAATAAGGGAAATATGGCCCGTTGCAGGGGTTCACTTTTTTGGACCACCCTGTTGTTTTATGATTAGCAGTAAAAGCAGTCAAGTGGAACCTCTTGCAAGTGGAACATCTTGCAAGTGGAATGTCTTGCAAGTGGAACATCTTGCAAGTGGAACAGTTTCTCGTCAAACCAAGGGTGTTCTACATCCACATTTTACCAGATTCAATTTAATGAAACTATTTTCTTCTAATTCTATAGGTCAAGTTTATATCAACATGTGAATTAAATCAATTATCACCCCATATAAGACATTTTAAATTGACCAGTTCAATTATCCTACCTTCTATCTTGAGTTCACTTTATCTAAAGGTTCATCTCTAGCTCTAGTAAGTTATTAAAATTGGATATGCTTTCTATAAAGCATCATATTAAGTGCATGAAACATCATAGATAGTTATCATGTAACCTTATTAAATAAGTGATTTGCTAAGATGGGTCAGGTAAGGTCGGTAGGTAAATAGCAAAGATGAACTACTCATACCAGTAAACCTGTCTATTCAGATGTTCAGTATCTGACTTAGTGAGCCTTTATTGAATATTTCCAGGCTTTCACTACAGACTTCAGAGTGCATTGGGGCCAACATCCTCTCAGACCTGAGTTTGTAGAGTCAACATACTTCCTTTATAAGGTAATGGCTGGATTGATTGCTTAATTCTTTGCTCATTTCTTTCATTGTCTGTTTGTTTGAATTCTTTCAACTCATTTTTTTATTTCAGATTTTATATGGCAATTTTTATTATTGCAGAATAAAGAAAAACTGCTCAGTTATCTTTCCTTGAAAAATTAATCCAGCTTAACAGCCACAATTAAACTGCATTGGCCTTTAAATGATCATATTCCATTCTCTCATCTCCAGGCCACCAATGACCCATACTACTTGGAAGTGGGCAAAGTTGTACTGCAGAATCTCAATCAACATGCAAGGGTGGACTGTGGCTTTGCAGCTATAAAGGATGTCACATCTGGGGAACTGGAGGATCAGTGAGTATTGCTTAAATACGGTCATGTTGTGAATTGCAAATATGGGGATAAAGAAATGGTGATTATAGAAAAAAGATAACATTAATTTGTTTATGAATGTACAGAAATCAGATGCATTTGTGATTTTTTAGAGAAATGGTACATGGGATAATCATACACCAGATCGCCATAGCATTCTCAATGTGACTTGTATTCATTCTCATTCACATTTGGATTACCTTATAAGGGTACAAAAAAAAGATAATGAGATATCTAAGATTTTCACATGGTTTGAGACAGATTCCATTACATACATGGTGTCATGGGTGTACAATTGAATAATCAGTGCTAAATTAGTTCATATTAGAACCAGGTCTCTCACCAAATACTCGATTCTAATTTTACCTGTTTAGTCAGAATATCAAAATACATGTTGTATATACAGTAGCTAATAGACAGGGTACAAAAGATTTTCACTGGGCTGGGATGATATATATGGTTGCTGGTAAGATTACCAAAAAGATATATTAGACTTAATGTGTTTCAGAATGGATTCATTTGTGCTTGCGGAAACATTCAAATATCTCTACCTGCTATTTGCTGAAAAAGAGGATATGTGGCTTGATGTTGATGACTTTGTGTTCACCACTGAGGCCCATCTGCTTCCCTTAACTCTCTCTGTCTACCAGTACAATGTCACAAATTCTTCTTCCAAGGTTAGTCTTATATGTACCTATCTCTATGTACCAATACAATATCACAAATTCTTCCTCCAAGGTTATAGTCTTACTTCCAAAGAAATAAATAAAATTAAGAAGGATGTGGTTTAAATGGTTTATTATTCCAACGAATGATGTTTAGCGTCATCCCACCAAACAGAGTTTGGTAGTAATGTAGAGAAGCTGTCCATCCATTCAGGTGACATAACTCAAATACCAGTTGTCAGATTTGGTTCAAATTTTTAAATTTTTTCCCTTTGGGCATAGGACCTTTGCTCAGAAATTTTTGTTCAATATGGCTACTTATTTCAAAATGGTCGCCATGCATTGAATCTTGCCTTTTTTTCTTACTTTTAGAGTGGAGTGAATGTTGTATTTGATGAAGATGAGATTGAGATTAACGTCCATGATGATGATCCCCATTTTACCCGCAGTTGTCCCAACACTCAGATCATCTACAAAAATAATGTCAGATATGCCCAACTTGTTCGCAACCCTCTAAAGGACCTGGTGAATGATGCTTGCCCCAAACCAAAGATTCTACACCCATCACAGCCAAGATTAAGAGCTTCAGATTTCCTAGTAGGCAACAAAGACCAGATGGCTGAACTTCAGAAGATGGGAATAAGGCTAGTGACAATGCAAGATGGAAGAGTTCAGCTGCTTCATACAGCTTCAGAGGTAAATATATGGACACATATGATTGGTTGAAAGTAAAGGCCATAAAATCTTCTGAAGTAAATATATGGACACATTTGATTGGTTGTAAGTGAGGGCCATGAAATCTCCTGAAGTAGATGTATGGATATATTAATAAAAGTAAAGGCCATGATGTTTCTGTTAACACATTTGATAAGATCAAAGTAAAGGCAACGAATTTTATTATTAATCATTCAAGTTGATTGGTTGTTTTATAGTTGATTAAACCATTTGGTGTTGTCTGATCACATTTTTTTCAATTTTCAGGCGCTCACTCCCAAGGATGCAGAAGATGGAATGATGTTCATGCAAGAGATGATTGAACTGTCAAAGACTCAACCTAATGAAGGTTAGACTAGAACATTAGAACATTAGACTAGAACATTCCATTTAAAATATTTTAGTGTTTCTCATGCAAAATGAATTATAGATATGTGGTTGATCTGACTGAATCATTTCTGGTAACAAGAAAAATATTTTAAGCATACATGTATTTTCATCACATGGATTCTGAGAAATAAAATGAAGAAATATGAAGATCTATGGAAACAAGGTAACATTTATTTTTAGTGCAACATGAGCCTCGTGTTGTCCAGCTGGTGTCAGCCCCATACTTTGGAAGTGTCTCATGGAGTGCTGGTCCTGCACAATTTGGCTATGACCTGAAGACAAGCAAACATGTAAGCACACACCAATATTCAGTAATACTACTTGATTTCAGTAGTAGATTTTGAGATAAATGTTGGCTTCACCATGATGCTTTTAGCACTTTGATGTAAGAATACTACTGTTTATTAATTCTGCTTTACTCAATTTCAATATTATACATTTATATTTTAGAGATGTAAGCATACATGATTTTCAAAATTATGGTAAAATAGAAGAGAGGTGTTTATTCCAATACATCATACTACATATTATGGTGCACAATAGAGAGATTTCGCACCTAGTGAAAGTACAACTTATAACGTATACTTATACTTATAGGTAAACGTACAAGGTGTTTCATAATGTGGGCTTTTCGTCAGGAAAGATCTTCTCGGACTGTAATAAATACAAGTCAAAGGGATGCCATTTGTACTTTCTTGAATTGTAGCATGTTTATTTGATCCAAGTGTGTTTGTCTAGAATAAAATAGGCTCATATATAGTAGGCCTACATATGTTATAGAACCATCTCTTCTCAAATTGACTTTTGGAGATGCTCGTTATGAAACACCCTGTATGTCATATGTTGAGCTACTGAATGGGTAGTTTCCAGAAATTGCTAGAACCTACTGGTTTGATTGGTGTTTCAAATTGATGGTTAAAGTATTTGATTGGATACTGTTCCCACTCAGCCAATTAATTTCAAAAAATGCTTGCGGTCAATTGTTCCACACACATGTAAGCAAATCTTTAGACGGAGATCCAACTGTATACGTTATCATCTACGTAAATATACCGTTTTGTAAGTTCACTGAACTTATACTGATCATGAAAACATTGAAATAATCAACTTGTTTATGTAATGACTCACTTTAAAGAATCATGACTCACTTTAAAGGATCGTGTTTATAATACACTACAACAACAAGGACACGGAAGCAAGCATTTAATTATAATGTGCATAATCTACACGTGCAGATGACAGTGCATTCACAGTCTCTAGTTGATGAAGCTTTTCTATAACGGGAATAGTTATGTTCCATTAAGTACAATTTAAAATTGATTTTAGTAAATATAATAGTTCGACATGACCCTTTAAACTATACGTATACGTATAAGTTGTACTTTCACTTATGTGCGAAATCTCTCTAATAATCAGATTATACTTTTAAATATTGATCAATTTAAGTATACAGTATAGTATACTCATAGTCAGCACCATCTATATAATATCTAACATAACATAATCAAGTCCGGTAACTTAGAAAAAAAGAAAATTCTGAATATTTTTTTTCTCATGCCAGGGGCTTTCATTAGTGATATTTTATGTTTATTCAACTTTCATATTTTTGTAACTTGTCAGAAAATTTTTCTTTTAACATTTTTCGGCGATCTATTAATACGAGGGGTGATCCAAAAGTCTTGGACGCCCCACTCTAACTTTGCTATTTTCTAATATGATTACATGAAACTTTCAGATAATAAAGATAAACATCTTAACAACTTTGTGTATAAGCTTCAACAGAAAATATTATATTTTAGCTACTTTTCTAAATATTTTTTCAAACCGGGTCCCTGCCAACCGGAATGGTATTTAATAAATATAGCAAATCACGTCACAACTGTTACAATATGGCAAATACTTCAGGTGCAGGTGCACAACCTAACACTAGTCATGATATGAGAGAATTTCCGATTTTCAATCTGAGTGTTATCTGCCATCATCATCTTCACATATTAAGACCTACTTTTCAACATATTTTTCACAAATTTGAACACATTTAATTTTTCATACCGCTCTACCAATGAATTGAAGACATTTATGAAACCGCCATTGCTTATATGATCCAAATGCTGCTGGAGTGCCACTCTAAACCTCATCCAATGAGTAAAAAACATTTTATTTCAACCCTTATTTCAACTTGGGGGAAAAGGAAGAAAATCACACGGAGCCATATCCAGACTGTATCATGCATATGGTAGCTGCTCAATGTCAATAATAGAGATAATATCTTGTAGTATTCTTTGTTTCACTTTGATTTCTCATTTCTGCAGCCATCTTGCAGCAAACATGATACCAGAATGATGGTTGCTTGTCTGATGTCATTTTGTTAGAATTTGACATATACGTCCATTGTCATATGTGACATTATAATTAAAACACAATTAATTGGTTGCCTAGTAACAAAGGAAGTAAACTAACATGGTTTAACATTCAAAATTCAAAGAAAGATAGTGATCAAGACTTGCGAAACAAGTGAAATGGCGGCAACATTTAAGGCTGAAAGTTGCCATGGTCTTTATTATTGTAAAGTTTAAAGTGACTTTATCAAAAACCCTCGTAGATATGAGGTCATGTCCATGAGCGGAGTTTTGGCCCAAAAAAGTAAGAAAGGACCTTATACACCCTCCATTGGGATCTCCCCATGGGAAAAAAATAATTCATCTGATATTTCAAAATGAGTATTCTGCTTCAATTATTACATTTATATGCACACTAGTATCTTGTTGACCTATATTCAGCACTGTATTGATGTATAGGCCACTTATTAGGGTCATAATTCAATCATGAAGTGTAGAGGCATAGATTCCAAACCAGGAAGTATTTTTGTGTCTGTCAAAATCCATTTACATCCTACGCATCCCTGCATCTTATCCAAATATGTTACTACATAATGAAATATAATAGTATAATCTTTGGTTTTACAAACTTGTATGATATTTGATAAGTGTAAAAAGTGTTTTTGGAGCATTTTTCTATAGCCATTTTGTAGGGAAAAAAATGATGAAAAAATGTGTCGTATTGTGAAATTATTAAGTTTGCAATCGATTCAGGTCATAGTGTATTTTTGGTATTTCTGTGATAATCAATGGAAACCAATGGCTTCTATTGGGATCTGCTGATATCCTCATGTTAAGTCTATGGTGCACTGCCCCATGTAAGTCAATACAACCTTACTGAACGAAATGATCCCTATCTCAGCTTATGTGTGTCCGAGCACTTTAATATTTTCCAAAGTATTATATGACATTTTATTCTTCATGTTACACCTACGAATGATTCATTTTGACCATAGGGATATTTGCCAATAATTGCACCTTGTCCTTTGTGCTTCAAGCTAAAATATCTGCGATTTGCAAGTGATTCTGACCATGTTTTAAGTATCAAAATAATGCTTACAGTATTGAGACTCAATTGAAGTTAAAAAATAAGGTGATTATGACCAAACAAAAACGGGAGTCCAAACCGGAAATCAAAAGAGTAACCGCACTTTCACTTTTAATAACTGAATAATGAAGATTGATGGTGCTCACTGTGAGTATACTCTATTGTTCTGTTTAAGGTATTTGTGTTTCAATGTGTGTAAATATTTCAAATGATTTGCTAGTGTAATGACAATATTATTTTGCAGCGTAAAGCCATACTACAGTTTAGATTTAAAACACTCTCCAGTCCTTCTAATGTTAAATCTCTCAGACAGAAAGTTACAGATTTTATGGTAAAGTCTAAAGAGACAAATAGAGTACTTGTTTTGTACATTTTTAGATCTTTGCTTCAATTTTATGCCTCTTAGAGATTTTTAACTTGACATGTTTGCAAAAACCTAATATGCAAAACAAAAATGTGGTTGTCTAATTATACTTTATAAGTTGACAAACTTGAAGAGAAATTTCTTGTTGATCATGTTTTGAAATGCAATATATAGTGGAAAAGAGTGGAATTAGCAAGGAATGTAGTGACCTGTCATGATGTACACTCTTTGAATTGTACATAAACAGCTGAAAATAAGACACTCTCAAGGAGTGCCATGGATAGGAGTTGAAGCAGGTGACATTTTACATGTAGGTGTCACATGTCAGTTTGCATGTCACATGTCAAGTATAAAATCTCTAACAAGGCAGTCTATATGTTGCTAGGTGGTTGGCAAGGTGACGGTGGTGGACCCAATCACAGGGTGTGGAGAACTGAACAATTGGGATGAAGTCATGGGCAAAATCGCCATTTTGAATCGTGGAGATTGTATGTTCGTTGATAAGGTAATGAGGGAGATGACTTTATCAATAGATGGCAGCATTGGTAGCACATTCATTTTGCTAATTATAATCACGAATACATATTGCAGTAATTGGATTTTTCTTTTTGTAAAAGGACATTTTTACATAAAATGTTTTTAATTTGACTATCACAGTATTTCATGTTATTTGATTGAGCATGAAGTGATTTAAGAACTAGGTGTGAGCTACCATCTATTAATGTCATCAAGCCCATTTTCTGGTTGACTTCTAAATTCAGGCAAAAGAAGAAAGAGGAAAGACTTTAGGGTTCAAATTCTTTACTTTCTGTCAGATGGTTGTATTATTACATCATTCCTTGGAAAGTTTATTGACTTTGTGTCAAATGACTTTGAGCATTCAGAATAAAGAAACTTAATTTTACATCTATTTGTTTTACTTTATTTTGTTTGGTTTTATGTGGAGGTTTTTGATGTTTTTATGCCATTTATTATCTATTTATTGTTAGTCTCTGCAATCTATTTAATCAACAAATATTGTTCAAAGTGAACATTTATTATTGCATTCTACCATGTAAACCTTGAGGTGTTATATGAAAGTCTACATGTAAAAAAGTTATTGTGAAGCTGGTAGGCATTTTTTATTAGACTTTTATTTAAACATTTACAAATTCACATTTATGGTCTCAAGTCAGTCTAATGAACAGTTATCAAAATGTCACAATTTGAGGAAACATTTCCATCCAAATATCATCATGTTGTGCACAAGACTGCCCTAACCAATACATACTCTAAGTCATTCTATTTTGTCTACAGGCTCGGAACATACAGAAAGGTGGCGCTATAGCGGGTATTGTTATAGGTAAGATCTCGCTGTTAATTGTAAAAGTTTTACTTAATTTACAATATATCAGAATATCAGAATTTCCAAAAATGGCTTCAATGATTCAGAAATTTTAGAATCCTGAGAATTTTTGAGACAAATTGGGGAATTTTAGATGAGTGGAATTTTAAAAATTGAACAACAAACTAAAAAAATCCTAATGAGAACTTGACTAATAATTACATTGAGTTAACTCTTGCATTAACAACAAGAACAATATGTTTGGTCCGGAATCTATAAAAGTATAACAGAATTCGAGAATTGGGTGAATATGAAGTGCCATCTATATTCTTTCTAATACAGAATTACAATTGGTATGAATGAAACGAAATCACTCTAAGTAATTAATACCATTACACCTCCCTTCAAGCCTTGTAAGGGTTAATTTACAACATATGTGATGAACAAGTCTTGAAAGGGTTTAACATGCAAAATGTCCATTAAAACACACTGAATGTTGTTGAAATATAAAATGAACTTTTATCACTAGAATAGATGTCTCTCTAATCTAAGATACTAGAACTCTGGAAAATCAAATGTAAAATCAAGTTTGCAGAATAATCATTTGCACATATACATGAATGCCTATTAGCATTAGCTAGATAAACTTACAATGCAAATCTTTGAATTTCTTTTGCCAAGTTTAATCTATAGTAACAAACATGACTATATTTGCATATATCAGAATAAACATCAAATCAAAATGTTATAGCAATGTTTGTTTGTTTCAAAAATATAACTAAATATTGTATGTAAACATAGTCTTGAGATTACTCTCTGTATCTCACTGGTTTGACAATTTGTCTGCCACTTCTTGTGACAAGTGGTGATTGTGGATTGTCAATCTTATTTTTCACAACTGGTAATGGTAATTGATGCTCTGGGGCTGGGTTTCTGTCTATTGTGGGACATGTTGATTTTTCAGATTCTAATTGTGGGGGTTCAAGCACTGGAGTGGAGCTTAGGGGGTCATCTCCAAATTCCATTTGTATGGGTTCCTTTGTTTTGTATAAGTCTTTGCGATTCCTCCTGATGTTATTTCCAAGCTCATTTTGCACTATATATGAGCGAGGTGAATCTGCATGTTTCAATACAGTTGCACGCTTTAGTTTATCATTTGATGCTTTGTATCTAACAGATTGTCCTGGTTTGAGTACAGGCAAGTCGTGGCCTGCTTTAGCATCATAATAGCGTTTCTGTGCCATTTTCCTGTCACGCAATTTTTCCGTCACATTTTCAGGGACAGTTGGCTTGAGAAGATCTGTTTGCAAGGGAATGACAGATCTAGTTCTCCTAGACATTAGGAGTTGGGCTGGGGATGCATTGAGTCCATCTCGAGGGGTGTTACGAAATTCCAATAGGGCCAGATAGGGGTCACGGTTATCAACATGGGCTTTCTTTAGAATGTTTTTCACAGTCTGGACCGAACGTTCAGCATTTGCATTCCCCTGGGGGTAAAGTGGGGAGGATGTCACATGCTCAAATCCATATTTTGTGGAAAATTCAGCAAATTCCTTGCTATTATACTGAGAGCCATTGTCGGAACGAAACTTTCTTGGAATTCCATGTCTTGAGAACTGTGATTTCAATGCTTGTATAGTTGCACTAGAATGTAAGTCAAGCAACTTATTCACTTCAACAAAATTTGAATAATAATCCACCAGCAATAGATAGTGATGCTCATTGAATTGAAATAGATCCGATCCAACTATTTCATAGGGAACAGAGGGAATTTCTGAACATTTCATGGGCTCTTTTGATTGGGCTTTCCTGTGTTGTTGGCATGGGGAACAACTTTCAATCATGTCAGATATCTGATGATTCATATTTGGCCAGAACAGAATATCACGAGCACGTCTACGAGTACACTCAATACCCATATGGCCACTATGAAGTTGGTCTAACATGAAATCCTGCAGGGAAGTGGGTACTACAATACGACTGCCTTTCATAATATATCCATCGAGAGTTGTGAGCTCGTCGCGATAATTCCAAAACTGTCGTAACTCAGAATCACATAGTTGACGTGAGCTGGGCCAACCATTGAGTATTACATGTTTGAGTTTCATGAGTACAATGTCTTTCTCTGTTTCAGCTTTGAGCTCAGCCAGTCGTGGTCCAGAAATAGGGAGATTTTGGATATCATGAATTTCGAGGGGTGGTTCAGGGTTGGGTTTATCAACTGGGGCTCGACTACACATATCAGCAACATGTAGTGTGGGGCCTGGGGTGTACGTAACTTTCAAGTTGTACTTTTGAAGTTGAAGCATCATTCTTTGTAGACGGGTAGGTGCAGAAGATAGAGGTTTCTTAAATAATGCTTCCAAGGGCTTGTGATCTGTGAGTACATTTACATCCTTACCATAGATGTATGTATGCAATCTGGTTGCAGTGAACAAAATTGCGAGGCATTCTTTCTCGATTTGGGCATAATTTTGTTCAGCAGGGGACAGGGATCTAGAAACATAATGGACTGGGTGATTTTCTTGCCATAAAGCGCCACCTAGGCCGGACTTAGATGCATCACAAGATAAGGTCACTGCTTTGTCAACATCATAGTAAGCTAGAACTGGGGCTTCACAAAGCTTACTTTTCAAGAGATCATAGCATTTGTCCATATTTGCGTCCCATTGCCACGGGACATCATCCTTTAGGAGCTGACGTAGGGGGGCATTGATCATCGAGAGATTGGGGATAAACTTTCCTAGGTAATTGAGGGAGCCTAAGAAACGACGCAAACCTGCCTTGTCTGATGGGGGTGGCATGTTTTGAATAGCCTCAATTTTGCGAGCATCTGGACTCATCCCATTTGGTCCAAATGTATGGCCTACGAAGGTAACTGAGGAATTGGCCAGCTTGATTTTACGCTTGTTCAACGTGAGATTTGAGGCTTTGGCGCGTTCAAGTACGGCAGTTAATACATCATTGTGTTTGGCCATATCACTTCCATGAATGAGTAAATCGTCCATTATGACCTCACAACCTGGAATATCGCCAAATATTTGCTCCATTTTGGCTTGCAGAATTTCGGGGCACAGATTTAGTCCATAAGGTAGGCGTTTCCAACGATAACGTCCAAATGGCGTGTTCATTGTAGTCAGAAATGAGCTTTTCTCGTCAAGCTCAAATTGGTTAAATGCTACGTTTGCATCCAAAGTAGTGAACACGGTGGAGTGTTTCAGATTCGCAGCAATCTGATCGGCTGTCTTTGACGGGTGATGCTGCCGTTTGATGGCTTTATTTAGATCCCGGGGGTCGAGAACAAGTTGAAGACGATCCGACTTTTCAACAATTATCATAGAACTAACCCAATCGGTTGGTTCTGTAACCTTGGCGATGATATTTCTGGTTTCAAGGTCAGCCAAAGTTTCCTTTATCCTGGGGAGTTGCGCATATGGGAATGAACGTGGAGGATGAATTACTGGGGGTACGGATTCATCCATAGTTATATGCACCTTTCCAATGTTTCCTAATCCAGTAAATACCGCACTATGATTCTCAATTATCTCCTCGGGTGTTGTGCCAGAATTGATTGAAAACATAGGGGATATTAATTTCATTTTCAGACAATCCTGTAAACTAAGAATTGGTTCTGACTTTTGATTTACGATAAATAATCTGACATTGTAAGTACCACTGTGACATGTTATTGGAATAGATACTTCCCCTTCACACGGGATCTTGTGATTTGAGTATGAAACGAGATTTGTGTGAGTTTCCTTGAGTGTGGGGGGATTTCTGAGATTTTTGTATATATCCAATGGGATAGTACTAGCATGGGCTCCAGTGTCACATTTGAATTTGACTGATTTATCACACAAATTAGCCTGTAGATATATTCCATCTTTGTTTCCATTATGATCAATAGAGTAGACGAAAAATTGATCACAGTCGGGATCATTGTCTGAATCCGGGTCGATAGCATCAACTTTTTTGGCGTTCGTGAACTTACGCTTGCGGCACCACTCTATAAAATGTCCTGTCTTGTGACAGTAATTGCACTTCTTACCCGAAGCTGCGCACTGAGATTTGTCGGGCTTATGTTTCCTACCACAATCCGTACAGGAAGCATGAGACGTGACAGGGCGAGAATGATCTTGGCGAGATTTAGGTTTGAAGCTCTTCTTATGGGGCTTGTTTTTAATAGAATCTACGGCCGCTGCTGCTGGAGTTTGAATGTCCTTACGATTTCTCTCTGAGAACTCATGAGCCTGACAGACTTCTATGCATTTATCCAACGTAAACACATCTACCTGTTGTGATTTTTCCAGTAAACGCAATTGCAGCTTATCATTGTTTATACCACAGATTATCATGTCCTTGACGAGTGAGTTTTGTAACTGACCAAATTCACAGTCTTTGGCTTTTACCTTTAAGTCTGTGACGAAACTGTCAAATGTTTCTCCTTCCTGTTGAGTTCTTGTAAGAAACTTGTGACGAACCATTGTGATATTTTTCCTGGGCTCAAAATAATCATCGAACTTTTGCAAAACTTTGGTATAATCCGTTTTATCAGCGTCCTCATTGAACACAAAACTGTTATAAATCTGTACACAAGGTTCTCCTATACATGCCATAAGAATGTTGAACTGGATTTGTGCCGACTTTTCAGATTTTTCTGTAGCCACCAGAAAAAAATCGAACATCTGCTTGAAGTGTCTCCAATTTTCAGCCAGATTACCAGTCAAAACCATTTGTTTTGGTTTATCCAAGAAAACTGCCATTCTGATTGTACGATTTATTGTCCAATATATATCAGATGGTCGAGTATTAAGTCCGATTTTCCCGATTTATGACACCATATAAAAGTATAACAGAATTCGAGAATTGGGTGAATATGAAGTGCCATCTATATTCTTTCTAATACAGAATTACAATTGGTATGAATGAAACGAAATCACTCTAAGTAATTAATACCATTACAGAATCAGGGTATATTTATTTGAAAATGTTAAGACAATTTTGTTAAAATCCTTCTCCAGATTTAATATTGATTTTTAGATAACCAACCTGACACAAGTAATGACCAATCACCACTCTTTGCCATGTCTGGTGATGGAAAAGATGATGTGACAATCCCCATGGTCTTCCTGTTTAGTAAGGAGGGTGCAGATTTAAGGGAGGCAATCTTGGAGAGCAGTGAGCTGGAAGTGTTGCTAGGCTATGTGGCAAGGTCTGCAGGTAACTAATAATTTTCACATTTACAAGTATACAATATGCATGTACATCATATACTAGAAATAGGTGAGTCTCCACTAAGGGTTCAGGGGGCCATTTGTTAGACATAATTTTTGAGAGTTGAACTGATTCAGCCTTATTTAAATATGTCTAGGTGTTATCAGTTTGTGAACAGACAATTTTAAGCATTAGAATACCTTTTAGGGGGTACTATGCATGTACAAGCTTCAACTTTTGAATATGACCTTTTTCCTGGAAAAAGCCCAGTTTGGCCAATCTTAGCTTTAGATCAGGTCTCTCTTGACTTTATTATTTGGACATCTGGCTATTTACATGTAACAGCAGCCAATTATATTGTACAAATTGGTTGGTATGACTTCCCAAAACCCTTTCTTGAGTCTCACCTGTAACAATGAGTTTTTAATTCCCAAAGTAACATCTAGTATAAATACTAGTGGAAATTCAATGTATGTTAAAACTTTACATTTACTGAAATAAAATGCCAGAACAATTGCATATTTCAAAATGAGGCTTTGTTGAAATAATAAAAATCTTGGCTGTTGAAGTGCAGGATTTCAATCTCTTCTCGTCAAAATCAGTTATTTTTTTGATTTCAGATAATATTATGGAAGATATGCTACATAAGGGGCTATCTCAGCCATTAAATCCTGATGTATTCTACGACAGAGAAATAGAGGAAGCAACACAAGAGATCAGCGTAGCCAGTGAAGATGCACCCTTCATCGTTACCCTAGGGGAAAATAGTCTTAATGTCAAGGGAGATGGCTACGAAATGAAAATCACGGCAAAAATAATCCCAGTTGGTATTAATCCTGCTACACCACATGTAACAGTTGATGCTTCCCGGGTGACTATAACTCATGATTCAGGACTACCCAAGTTAATCAAAATTGATGTTGTTACACGCTTACCTCATAATGTCGACAAGACCTCCCAAGGCGCTATTAATCAATTCAATTTAGACTTTTTGACTGTACTCAACAAAAGAACAAACTTTTTAAGAATATTAGCCAAAAGTGATTATGACGGTGAGTATTCCAATATTTTTGAAAAATTGTCAGGCGTCATAATGGCGAGAGGAAATGTTGGAGAATTAGTACAATCGACTAATCGGGTTTGCATCAATAAACTTGCTAATGAACTGGAATTAACTACGCAAGTAAAAGTTGATGATGATCCCGGAGAATTATCTGAAAATGTTCATGAGAAATGGATGCGGGAGACTATGGCTGAACATGAGGATGATGAGGATGTGAAACGTAATTTGTTGAAGAATACAATACCTAAAGAAGTTCTTAATAAAATTCAGGATGCATTGAATGAACAAGAGGACAACATTAAGTTTCGTATGAATAAACGCCAGGAGGCATACAGAGAAAAACTTGAGAAACATTATGCAACTGAACTGGATTTAAATGAAGCTCAAGACTCTAGTCAACCCATGGATGGGACAGATGGTGTGTTTTCGGAATACCATGGCAGTGGAAAGGAGGAGAAAGAGGTCAACAGGGACACTCAAAAACATTGGGAAAAAATCCGTTCAGAGATTCAAGAACGTTGGCAAAATGTCAAACAAAAATTAGAGAAACAAATCAAAGAAGATGAAGACAGCGAAGAAATGGCAGAGAAGTTAAAGAAGATAGCAAAGAAATTAAATAATTTAAATCCCAACATTGGTAATATTCAGCGTGAGAGAGAAGAAATAGAATTAGCAGAAAAATATCAAAACATTGCGATATCAAAAGAGCATAAAGATATATTAGATACATTAGATGAACATAAAGCTGATGCTCCAAAATATAAAAAAACAAATATACGTATTCAGATGGATAGTCAAAACACTCATATCACACAGGGCCATAGAAAAACCAGTGTTGAAGCAGATACACAAGACTCTAAAACTGAAGAAAGAAGGACTAAGTCTCAAAATGAAAATCAAAAACGGACAGAATTATAAAACATATACATGTGCATGTCAATTGTGGATCAAATATTGCAATGATCATTTTGAAAACGTGAGAAATTGTGGATAGAAAAAGAATCACTGTGGATTCTTTTTTCATACAATACTGAACTCCCGTTATATTTCACGAGATTTAATTTCCCGATTTTTTGAGAAATTATAATTTTGCAGCTATTAAAGGAGCATGTACAGGTTATCGCAAACAATTTCAAACGATTCTAACTTGAAGTATGAATATTTTCTGATCATGAACATCCATTCATTATCTTCAAGAAAAGTATATATATTGATAATTTAGTTGATCAGAACTAAGTGATATTGAAGGGGCAATGGACCAATCAACATACTTTTTCAAAAATGTTGACCTAATTTCAACCAAAAATGCAACCTTTTATTATATTGTTGAATGCATAATTACAATGTGCTTTGAGACATGTTCGATCTCCTAAAAGGAAAAGTTGATTGCTCCAGGGACTTTAAAGATACTGAATTTGGATGACCAAAATGAACTGAAACCAATGGATAGCATGAGATTTTTCAATGGAGAAATAACATGGGGAATACTTATCTTAAAGCAATTAAACTTTTCTTTCAAGAACTAGTTGATACATCAAAATAGAGAATAGTAATGCATTAAACATTGTAAAAAATGATTGCATTTTTGGTGAAAATGGGGTCAACATCTTTGAAAAAGTGTGTTGATGAGTTGATTGCTAGTTAAATATCTCCGAGTTTGTTTGATTTTATTATTACTGTATATAATTTTCCTTGAGATAATGAATTGATCTAAAAGATAAACCTGTCTTCATTGTCAGAAAATAGTCATAATCCAAGATATAACCTTCTGAAATTGTTTACGATAACCTACATGCTCCTTTTGCAGGTTTAAATTTCTATGAATCCTCAAACTTTGTAAATTAAGTTAATTAATTATACCTACCCAATCCCAATGTCAGATTTGGATACGATTAACAATTACTTAAACAAGGTCAATGACACGCTGCATCTAAATCTCTATTTCATCAATATTTTTGGGGTTTTGTTTGATCTAATAAGCCAGTGAAAAAGAGGCCTTGTTGCTTGTGTCTGATTTATTGCCCAATAGCACAAAACGAAGTGCGCCAGAGTCACCCTGATTATTATTCATGATTCTTCCACTATTGCAAATTATGCAAAATTAAATCACACTCAAAATATACCAAGAGTACAGTACGTCTTGAAATATTAAGATGATTCCACTCTTTTTCTCTTCATTTTGCATTTCATAACATGAACATTGTGACATTTTGTCGAAAATTAATAAAGTGCCAATAAGGGGTTGTGTCCAAATGTCAAAAGTTGTTGAATAACAAAGTTAAATTCATTAGGGGAGGGGGTAAATAATGATTTCAATAGTGAAGAATATTGACATATTCATACATTAAGTGAGAGCCAGATGAATATCTTCAAATTTTGTTATATGGGGGAAGGAGGGGGGATGGAACCATATTCAGATTTTAAAATTAAGATTTGGACATCATCTCAATATTCCTCTGAAACTTTGTGACCAGAATCGAGCAGATTTCAGAAGTTAAAGAGTTGTAAAGTGTCATGTTTAACATGTTAACATTTTCTAGAAATCCGAAATGGCAATACATATACATTGTACTTGTATATGTATTTTATTATGGAATTTGGTAAACTTGATGTTGTGAATTATTAATACACCAGAATGTATTTTACTCTATGTTGAAAATTTGGGATTTTTCAATTGCAATCCTTGGGGAAAAAGAATCTGTTCATGATATAACTGGTGCATAACTACAAGTTAGATGAAATACCTCATATTTTTCGAGATATACACGGTAAACATATTTTGGACAATAACAGGTGACACAAAGTGGTCAGAAACATATAAAAGTCTGTAAGGGGCACCCAAAAGGGAACAATAATGTCACAGTGGGAACAACAATGTTAGCTTTGAAAATTCATGAACTTTAAAGTGGCAGAAATGGACAAGCTTATCATCAGGGTCAGACGGCAAATTCAAAATTATTGTGCAAAATTTTTTAATGCTATCCCAAACACTTACAGTATGTAAAATGTAAAGGAAGGGAAATTAAGAGATTCTAATGAGAGCTTTCTTCAATAATATCACCATTCTCATCATTTCAGTCAGTACTGTGTGCATGAATTGCTAATTTTTTGTCATTCTAAGGGGATTATCCCATTAATCTGTTAGTTTCGTGTATGTACTGTCTGGGGCCACTGGGGTCAGCCAAAAATATTCAGAAAAACAGGTGATCACAAGTCAAGCTCTCTTTGACAAGGAAGTGTAAAAATTACAAAATGTCTGAGAGATTTTGAGTTGCAGAAGTGTTATAATATTCATGTATAGATTTTACTGTATTTTCAAAAAATAAGGGGATATTTTTTGATCATCATTTCATTTTTTAAAGCATATACGATGGGGTCATATTGAATGATGATATCCCTTGATAAATTGATGTTGTCATATTTAGAAGTTATACTGCTCATTTACTAAGAATGGAAACGTGTATGTATTAGGTTTGTTTATGTGATGTTTGTAAATATATTGACAATATTGTACAACAATGCAATAAATTATACAATGTCAGATTAGATTGTACAATAGAATACCTGTTGCAAATATTGAATAGTACTCATGTTAATAGCCAACAAAATGTTTTCAAGGTATGTGTTCACTTGACTTGAGACTTTTATGAAGTATGACTTTTTACATGTAAAGTGAATGTATTTTTAGAGTAGACTAATTGCAAATATTGTATGGCATTTCTGATTCCGATATGGCTTTTAGACAAATTAATAGTGAGCAAGGCATGATTTTATGAAACAGAACTTGGGATCTGGCAAATAGCCCCATGTACCTGTTAAGCAAAGTTCAATTTATCTCTAGTTGAGACATATTGAATTGTATCACAATCAAACTGGTACGAGTTGAAACATATTGAAGAGTTCATTTGTATCACAATCAAACTGGTACGAGTTGAGACATATTGAAGAGTTCATTTGTATCACAATCAAACTGGTACGAGTTGAGACATATTGAAGAGTTCATTTGTTTCACAATCAAATTGGCACAAGTTGAGACATATTGAAGAGTTCATTTGTATCACAATCAATTTGGCTCTAGTTGAGACACATTGAAGAGTTCATTTGTATCACAATCAAATTGTTACGAGTTGAGACATATTGAAGAGTTCATTTGTATCACACTCAATTTGGCTCTGGTTGAGACACATTGAAGAGTTCATTTGTATCACAATCAATTTAGCTCTAGTTGAGACACATTGAAGAGTTCATTTGTATCACAATCAATTTGGCTCTAGTTGAGACATATTGAAGAGTTCATTTGTATCACAATCAATTTGGCTCTAGTTGAGACATATTGAAGAGTTCATTTGTATCACAATCAAATTGGTACGGGTTGAGACATATTGAAGAGTTCATTTGTATCACAATCAAATTGGCAATAGTTGAGACATATTTAAGAGTTCATTTGTATCACAATCAAATTGCCACAAGTTGAGACATATTGAAGAGTTCATTTGTATCACAATCAATTTGGCTCTAGTTGAGACAAATTGAAGAGTTCATTTGTATCACAATCAATTTAGCTCTAGTTGAGACCCATTGACGAGTTCATTTGTATCACAATCAATTTGGCTCTAGTTGAGACATATTGAAGAGTTCATTTGTATCACAATCAATTTGGCTCTAGTTGAGACATATTGAAGAGTTCATTTGTATCACAATCAAATTGGTACGAGTTGAGACATATTGAAGAGTTCATTTGTATCACAATTAAATTGGCAATAGTTGAGACATATTAAAGAGTTCATTAGTATCACAATCAAATTGGCAATAGTTGAGACATATTGAAGAGTTCATTTGTATCACAATCAAATTGCCACAAGTTGAGACATATTAAATAGTTCATTTGTATCACAATCAAATTGGTACGAGTTGAGACATATTGAAGAGTTCATTTGTATCACAATCAAATTGCCACAAGTTGAGGCATATTAAATAGTTCATTTGTATCACAATCAAATTGGTATGAGTTGAGACATATTGAAGAGTTCATTTGTATCACAATCAAATTTGCAATAGTTGAGACATATTGAAGAGTTCATTTGTATCACAATCAAATTGCCACAAGTTGAGACATATTGAAGAGTTCATTTGTATCACAATCAATTTGGCTCTAGTTGAGACAAATTGAAGAGTTCATTTGTATCACAATCAATTTAGCTCTAGTTGAGACCCATTGAAGAGTTCATTTGTATCACAATCAATTTGGCTCTTGTTGAGACATATTGAAGAGTTCATTTGTATCACAATCAATTTGGCTCTAGTTGAGACATATTGAAGAGTTCATTTGTATCACAATCAAATTGGTACGAGTTGAGACATATTGAAGAGTTCGTTTGTATCACAATTAAATTGGCAATAGTTGAGACATATTAAAGAGTTCATTTGTATCACAATCAAATTGCCACAAGTTGAGACATATTAAATAGTTCATTTGTATCACAATCAAATTGGTACGAGTTGAGACATATTGAAGAGTTCATTTGTATCACCATCAAATTGCCACAAGTTGAGGCATATTAAATAGTTCATTTGTATCACAATCAAATTGGTATGAGTTGAGACATGACATATTGAAGAGTTCATTTGTATCACAATCAAATTGGCACAAGTTGAGACATATTGAAGAGTTCATTTGTATCACAATCAAATTGGTACGAGTTGAGACATATTGAAGAGTTCATTTGTATCACAATCAAATTGGCACAAGTTGACACATATTGAAGAGTTCATTTGTATCACAATCAAATTGGCACTAGTTGAGACATATTGAAGAGTTCATTTGTATCACACTCAAAAGATTCTTGATATTATGTTTTTTTTTGCGGGAAAGGCTAGTAGAATTGATGTGAAAGTATATGGTACAAGTGAATACTTGAATAATGACAATTCAAACAGTGAAACATATTTAGCTGCACACTTTTGTTTCTGAAACAATAGCTGCTGGCAGCTACATGTAGCTTTAGGTTTAGGTTTTCATTAAAAATATTTTCTGTTTTTTGAAGAGTGTGCTCATTTTCTCAACAACCAGAGCATAACTTGATTTCTAAAATGAGGCAATACTGGGAGATATGAGGCAGACTTAATTTCCAAATATTTAGAATTCAAAAACATCTGAATATTTCTGTAGATGCCTCATAGGCACCCATGCATGGTTCACTTATGTGTTGTACTTAGAAATAAGCACTTTGATTTTAATGTACTGCATCATTTTACAACAGGGAATTTTCTAGATCTTCCAGAGGCCTAACAAATCGGCTCAATTGTGTAGGTACAAACTATTATTATAGCACAATATAAAATTTTAGTGAAACTAAATAAGTAAGATAGAATTGCACAAAGTTCATTGGGGCATGTAGATATCAAAT